TTAGCTTCCTTTCCCCATATAATCTTTAAGCTAATAAGGCCGTGTGTCCACCAAAGTGTTTTTAGGCGGCTGAAAACGCCAGACGCTCTGCTGAAACGCCTAGCTGTGGGCGCTAGCTGTGGCGTTAGCTGTGGGCGCTAGCTGTGGCGCTAGCTGTGGGCGCTAGTTGTGGGCGTTAGCTGTGGGCGCTAGCTGTGGCGTTAGCTGTGGGCGCTAGTTGTGGGTGTTAGCTGTGGGCGCTAGTTGTGGGTGTTAGCTGTGGTGCTCGCTGTGGGCGCTAGAGAGCGTTTTGGCAGCGCAGTGTTTTTTCAGTTGAGACGTTTCGTTGCTATGATACAGAATATCCGCAGCACAGTTTACTTGTAACTGATTTCACAGATAATTTGTTTCATACAAATTTTTTTTTGTTTTATCCATGTTGTTCGGTTAGCTCTGCTGGTTGATGTCGTTGTACAGAAAGAATGTTGTGACAGTTGGTCGGTGTGGTATTAGCCCCGCCCCTCCTCCACTGTGATTGGATGGCTGGGTAAAAAGTGACAGAGATGAGCGCTGCGTTTTACCCAAAGTTGAACATCCTTCAACTCTCGGCGACGGTAAAAACCGGCAGGCGCTCAGCGCTTCAGCAGGAAAAAAAACGCTCAGCGCCTCGTTACGCTTATGGCGTTTTAAAAACGCGGCGCTCTCATTGAAAACAATTGAAAACATACGCCAGCCTCGTGAAAAAAAAGCTTTGGTGGACACACGGCCTAAGGAGAGGCTGGAGGAGACTGGAGCTCAGATATACACTACCAGTGGCACTACTGACGCCTGGATGAGGAGAACGGTAGCGAGATGCCAGGGTTATGTTGGTGGAGCTGGGGAGGTAGAGGGACGCCAGAACAGCTGACCCCAGAAAAGCCGACGCCAGAACAGCTGACCCAAGAACAGCTGACCCCAGAACAGCCGACGCCAGAACAGCCGACCCCAGAACAGCTGACCCCAGAACAGCTGACCCCAGAACTGCCGACGCCAGAACAGCTGACACCAGAACAGCCGACCCCAGAACAGCTGACCCCAGAACAGCTGACCCCAGAACAGCTGACCCCAGAACAGCCGACGCCAAAACAGCTGACCCCAGAACAGCCGACCCCAGAACAGCCGACGCCAGAACAGCTGACCCCAGAACAGCTGACCCCAGAACAGCTGACCTCAGAACAGCTGACACCAGAACAGCCGACGCCAGAACAGCTGACCCCAGAACAGTTGACGCCAGAACAGCTGACCCTAGAACAGCCGACCCCAGAACAGCGGACCCCAGAACAGCCGACGCCAGAACAGCCGACGCCAACGCCAGAACAGCCGACGCCAGAACAGCCGACCCCAGAACAGCCGACCCCAGAACGGCCGGCCCCAGAACAGCCGACGCCAGAACAGCCGAACCCAGAACAGCCGACGCCAGAACAGCCGACTCCAGAACAGCTGACGACAGAACAGCTGACGACAGAACAGTCGACGCCAGAACAGCCGACACCAGAACAGCCGACTCCAGAACAGCTGACCCCAGAACAGCCCAAACCAGAACAGCTGACCCCAGAACAGCCGACGCCAGAACAGCTGACACCAGAACAGCTGACCCCAGAACAGCCGACACCAGAACAGGCGACCCCAGAACAGCTGACACCAGAACACCTGACCCCAGAACAGCTGACACCAGAACAGCTGACCCCAGAACAGCTGACACCAGAACAGCTGACCCCAGAACAGCCGACCCCAGAACAGCCGACCCCAGAACAGCCGACCCCAGAACAGCTGACCCCAGAACAGCTGACCCCAGAACACCTGACCCCAGAACAGCCGACGCCAGAACAGCCAACGCCAGAACAGCCGAAACCAGAGCAGCTGACCCCAGAACAGCTGACCCCAGAACAGCTGACCCCAGAACAGCCGACGCCAGAACAGCTGACCCCAGAACAGCCGACCCCAGAACAGCTGACCCCAGAACAGCCGACGCCAGAACAGCTGACACCAGAACAGCTGACCCCAGAACAGCCGACGCCAGAACAACTGACCCCAGAACAGCCGACGCCAGAACAGCCGACGCCAGAACAGCTGACCCCAGAACAGCCGACGCCAGAACAGCTGACCCCAGAACAGCCGACGCCAGAACAGCTGACACCAGAACAGCCGACCCCAGAACAGCCGACCCCAGAACAGCCGACGCCAGAACAGCTGACCCCAGAACAGCCGACGCCAGAACAGCTGACCCCAGAACAGCCGACGCCAGAACAGCTGACACCAGAACAGCCGACCCCAGAACAGCCGACGCCAGAACAGCTGACACCAGAACAGCCGACCCCAGAACAGCCGACCCCAGAACAGCTGACCCCAGAACAGCCGACGCCAGAACAGCCGAAACCAGAGCAGCTGACCCCAGAACAGCTGACCCCAGAACAGCCGACGCCAGAACAGCTGACCCCAGAACAGCCGACCCCAGAACAGCTGACCCCAGAACAGCCGACGCCAGAACAGCTGACACCAGAACAGCTGACCCCAGAACAGCCGACGCCAGAACAGCTGACCCCAGAACAGCCGACGCCAGAACAGCCGACGCCAGAACAGCCGACCCCAGAACAGCCGACGCCAGAACAGCCGACCCCAGAACAGCCGACGCCAGAACAGCTGACGCCAGAACAGCCGACCCCAGAACAGCCGACGCCAGAACAGCTGACCCCAGAACAGCCGACGCCAGAACAGCTGACCCCAGAACAGCCGACGCCAGAACAGCTGACACCAGAACAGCCGACCCCAGAACAGCCGACCCCAGAACAGCCGACCCCAGAACAGCCGACGCCAGAACAGCCGACGCCAGAACAGCTGACCCCAGAACAGCTGACCCCAGAACAGCCGACCCCAGAACAGCCGACGCCAGAACAGCCGACGCCAGAACAGCCGACTCCAGAACAGCCGACCCCAGAACAGCCCAAACCAGAACAGCTGACTCCAGAACAGCCGACGCCAGAACAGCTGACACCAGAACAGCTGACCCCAGAACAGCCGACACCAGAACAGCCGACCCCAGAACAGCCGACACCAGAACAGCCGACCCCAGAACAGCTGACACCAGAACACCTGACCCCAGAACAGCTGACACCAGAACAGCTGACCCCAGAACAGCTGACACCAGAACAGCTGACCCCAGAACAGCTGACCCCAGAACAGCTGACCCCAGAACAGCCGACCCCAGAACAGCTGACGCCAGAACAGCTGACCCCAGAACACCTGACCCCAGAACAGCCGACGCCAGAACAGCCGACGCCAGAACAGCCGAAACCAGAGCAGCTGACCCCAGAACAGCTGACCCCAGAACAGCTGACCCCAGAACAGCTGACCCCAGAACAGCCGACGCCAGAACAGCTGACCCCAGAACAGCCGACCCCAGAACAGCTGACCCCAGAACAGCCGACGCCAGAACAGCTGACACCAGAACAGCTGACCCCAGAACAGCCGACGCCAGAACAGCTGACCCCAGAACAGCCGACGCCAGAACAGCTGACCCCAGAACAGCCGACGCCAGAACAGCTGACCCCAGAACAGCTGACCCCAGAACAGCCGACGCCAGAACAGCCGACGCCAGAACAGCCGACGCCAGAACAGCTGACACCAGAACAGCTGACCCCAGAACAGCCGACGCCAGAACAGCTGACCCCAGAACAGCCGACCCCAGAACAGCCGACCCCAGAACAGCCGACGCCAGAACAGCCGACCCCAGAACAGCCGACGCCAGAACAGCCGACGCCAGAACAGCCGACGCCAGAACAGCTGACACCAGAACAGCTGACCCCAGAACAGCCGACGCCAGAACAGCCGACCCCAGAACAGCCGACGCCAGAACAGCTGACCCCAGAACAGCTGACCCCAGAACAGCCGACGCCAGAACAGCCGACCCCAGAACAGCTGACCCCAGAACAGCCGACGCCAGAACAGCTGACCAGCAAGGGATGTGAGTGACAGCTGGACACACACACACACACACACAACGTCACTGACCGCTGGTCCAATCCGCTTTCGGTCCGGTCACACACACACACACACACACACACACACACACACACACACACACACACACACACACTGTAACCCGCTGATCAGAGCTGATCTGGACTCAGTGCAGGTAAGAAGCATCTGACCATGAGCGATCACACATGAACAAACGCTGGACATATAGACTCCTCTGGATGAACACTGTCGACTGGACTGAGGATCTGCAGGATATTATATCTCATTATTAGTGTAAATCAGGTGATGCTGTAGTTTCTCTCAGTGTTGTGTGTGTTATTGCATCGGCTGCATGTTTCTGTGTGATGGTGTGTGTTTAGTTTCACTTTGGGGAGAAAATAGTTAAAGGTGCTCTAAGCGATGTCACACGTTTTTCAGGCCAAAACATTTTTTGTCACATACAGCAAACATCTCCTCACTATCCGCTAGCTGCCTGTCCCCTGAACACACTGTAAAGAAACGCGGTCTCTGTAGACAGCCCAGGCTCCACAAACAGCAACAAAAACAAACTGCGGCGACCCGCTCCCCGAAACATAACAAACTGTTCCAGCCAATGACCGACAAGAAGGGTTTGAGGGTGTGGTTTGGGGGGTTAGTGTGCGGATGAGGAGGAGGGAGGGTCTAGCTAGCCTCCGTTTTGTTTGACAATAGTTCGAACGTCAACAAGAAGTGATGTCACCCAGGATCGCTTAGAGAACCTTTAAATCTGACATTATTTTGAAAATATTTGCGGATGTACTTAGTTTAAGAGATTATATAATTTTTGTATTCATAGAGTATGCATACATTGATCAAAAGTGACAGTAAGTGTAAATGTGTGTGTGTGTGTGTGTGTGTGTGAGAGTGCCTGTGTGTGTATGTGTTAGAAAGTGTGTGTGTGTGTGTGTGTGTGAGTGTGTGTGAATGAGGGAGTGGATGTGTGTGTGATTAAGTGCGTGTGTGTGTGCGTGTGTGTGTGTGTGAGAGTGTGTTTAGTCTGCGATGGCTTCGTCGTGATCAGTCCTCCAGGGGTCTCTGTAGCGATTGAATCTGATCACCTGACAGTGAAACTCCGTTAACGCTCGCGGCATCGGCGCCACTTCCCGCCACTCTGAGCGCCGGCTGTCGTACACCTGCACCTCGTCCGAGATCTCGTCCGGCGAATAATCCCCGCCCAGGATATAGATCTTATCCTGCACGCCGACAGCGCCTGCGTTAAACCCCGCGCACTCGAACGACCCCTCGCCTTTCCACGCGCAGGCGTCCGCGCAGAAGCTGAAGACTTTATACGTGGACAGATCGCAGAGGAACAGCGAGTCGTTCATGGACACGGACTTGACGAGCGTGGCGTGGAAGAACTGTCCGAACTCCGCCACTAGCTGGCACCACTGATCCGCGACAGCGTCGTAGCGGAAGAAGCAATCCAACGACGGATTGAAGGCTTCGGAGATTTCAACCTCGGATCCGAGAGCGTAGATAACGCTTCCACATGCGCTCGCTTCGGGAAAGTAGATCCCCTTTGGAAGCGGGCTAACGGATTTCCAAATGTTGCTAACGGGATCAAAGTATTCCACATCTAGAACATTTTTCCCACCGATGGCGTAGATGCGGCGCATAGTGGCGACGCATGTGTGCATGGTACGCGGGTGGTGCATACGCAGAGCTGGCGTGTAGCTACGCGCGACAGGACAGTAGCACCAGACTTCATCCGTAGCATCGTGCTCCGGCGCGGCGATGTGCAGGCGAACCGCGCGACGGCAACTCCCGCGGCATCCGCCGACGACGAACAGCTTCTCTGCAAAGCTGACGAGAGCCGATCCGGGTAGATCTAAAATGTGCGCCGCGTCCTGCGGCAACTCCGTCCAGCGGTTAGCGCCGACGTCGTAGCAGAACGTACACCGATTCTCAGAGCTTTCCTCCGTTTTGTGCACGAAAATGTAGCTTGAAGTCGTCGAAGGCCGAGCATCGGAAAACAACCCGGTGGATTCGCGAGTGCGCGCGAGTGCTTCGCTAACAATGCTAATGCAAGGTCCGTCGTCGGTTAGCAGCTGCTTGGCGTCCTCTAGCGCGGCGGGCGGGAGATGGTGCAGACGGACCCGCGGCAGGAGCTCCGGCAGCAGGATCTTGCGCGACTGCGGGTCACAGCGCGTCCAGCGGAGTAGTGCGTGCAGGACGCTAGCTTCATCCGGTACGCTGAGCATGTCAGATGCTAAGCAGCGCTCCAGCACCAGCGCCGGCATCTCCAGGAAATCCGGTCCGGAGGAAAGCGTGTGGAAGTTCTGCGTGACGAACTCTGTGGCGTGACTTAGCAGGTGCGCGGAACCGTATCCCTCCGCGACCGCTAACAGGTGCAGGCAGTTCGAGAGATCCAGGGTTTGGACCAGGAAGTCACTGCAAGCATGTGACAGGAAACTGACCTGTGCGAATGACAGAGGAAAGACATGCTGAAGCCGTTTTCATACGTTAAGAGTCAGTTCTCTTCCCGCACTGATCTCTTTTATTTGGTTCCAAACGGGGGTATTATTATGACAGCTTGTTTCTGCCACGGAATAAAAAAAAATAAAAAGGTAATTGCGCCTTTTTATCTCACAATTCAGACTTTTTTAACTCCAGTTTATAACTCACATTTTATATAACACATTGCTAACATGTTTTAGCATGTTGTTAGCATTAATTAACCAACCATTTGCATGTTTCTAACATGAATTAGCATGTTGCTACCATGTTTTAACACATTGCTAGCATGTTTCTTACATGAATTAACAAGTAAAGTTTTAACATTTTGCTAGCATGAATTAGCACATTGGTACCATGTTTTAGCATGTTACTAGAATGTTTCTAACATGAATTAGCAAATTTCTACCATGTTTTAGCATATTACTAACATATTTCTAACATGAAGTAACACATTGCTACTATATTTTAGCACGTTGCTATCATGTTTAGCAAGTTATGAGTTTATAACTCACATTTATATAACCTTTTTTCTCTGAATTGCAAGAAAAGTCAAAATTGCGAGATAATTGCAAGAATTTCACCAGAGGTAAAATTTTATCGCAACTTTCAATCGGCTGTCGATGAACAACGTCAAACTAACGATCAAAGACTTTAAATTTTAGCCAAGGATCAGAGGAATCTTTTAGGATTTGCAAAGTTAGTCTCAGACGGCCAAATCGTGAAATGAAATGAAAAAATTAAATAAAATAATTCAAAAAAAAAAAAAACTATAATAGTGTAGCAAGACTGACTGTTACGCAGTGCTTCACAAGAGTGGGCGGAGCTAAAGGGCTCATTTCATTTCTCTGATTGGTGGAGATTCCTCTGAAGCATCATGGGTAATGTAGTTTCTCATCAGGAATTTCACTGTTAAACATGATTATTTAAAAAATATGTTGAAATAACGCTTTGGCAAAAGCATTTATCATTGATTAAGAACCTCATAAGTTATTATTTAAAATCTATCCATCTGTGGAGAGAATGAACGTTTTGAGTTGTTATTTCTCGGGCCTCACCTGCAGGAAAGAAGCCAGTTGGAACAGCATGTCCACGTTGTCTTCTCTGATCTCTATGTGAGCGGAATAAGCGAAGTCGAGGAAAGCGTGAACGGCGGGAGCCGAGAGGTTACTGAGTGTGACGGAGCCGTCGTCTCGCTCACGCGTGTCCAGCTCAAACATGGCCCTGGATGAACACACACGCCGAAAATACGTTTTAACATTGATAATAATCATAACTGTTTCTTGAGCATCAGATCATCATATTAGAGTGATTTCTGAAGGATCATGTGACACTGAAGACTGGAGTAATGATGCTGAAAATACAGCTTTGATCACAGGAATAAATTACACTTTACTGTATATTCACATAGAAAACAGCTGATTTACACTGGAACTAGATAACAAACCTTGATGTTGGCTTGAAAAATCCAGAACAGAAAGTTTGAAAAAGTTTGAAAAAGTTTTAACAGCTTTAAGTTTGAAGGGTTTAAAGGCTATTCAGACTATCAGATAGATAGATAGTTTTAATATATTATTCACATGCTTTATTACATTGCTATCATTTTTCTAAAATGATTTAACACTGTTAGCTAATGTTAGCAAATTAAGAACATGTCCCTAACATGAATTAGCACAACGCTTGCATGTTTTAGCATTTTGCTAGCATGATTTAACACACGGTTAGCATGAATTAACACATTGCTAGCAGGTTTTTAACATCGATTAACACAAACCATGTTTTAACATGTTTGCTAACATGAATTATCACATTGCCAAAATGTTTTAGCATGTTTCTGGCATGAATTAACACATTGTTAACATGTTTTTAAAATGATTTAACACTGTTAACAATTTTTACATATTACGAACATGTTCCTAACATGAATTAGCACAATGCTAGCATGTTTTAGCATGATTTAACACACTGTTAACAATGAGTTAACACATTGCTAGCATCTTTTTAGCATCAATTAGCAACAAACATGTTTTAACATGAATTAGTACATTGTTAAAATGTTTTAGCATGATGCTAAAATGAATTAGCAAACTGCGTGCATGTATCTAACATGAATTACCACATTGCTAGCATGATTTAACTTGTTAAAGTGCTTTATCACACTGTTAACATGTTTCTTATATGATTTAACACTGTTAACAATTTAAGCACATTGCGAACATGTTCCTAACATGAAATAGTATATAAGAGTTATTGTGTAAAAGCTTTGACTCCTTCAGTGGAAGTCTATGGGAATTTGGGATTGTTCCGAGGTCCAATACGGGAATTCCCAAAGTCGGATCAGTTAAATGCGGGTCAGAACATTCTGAAGGTCTCACCCGAGTTTATTTTTGTTTTGTGTTGTATATTGTGTGAAGAAAACAGTGTTCGCCTGTGCAAAACTCACCACCTTGTTGCCAGGGTGTTGCTATGGTGTTCTGACTGGTTGTTAGAATGTTACTATGATATGGGTTGTGGTGGTTTCCAGGGCGTTGCTATGGTGTTCTGACTGGTTGTTAGAATGTTACTATGATAGGGGTTGGGGTGGTTTCCAGGGCGTTGCTATGGTGTTCTGACTGCTTGTTAGAATGTTACTATGATATGGGTTGTGGTGGTTTCCAGGGTGTTGCTATGGTGTTCTGACTGGTTGTCGGAATGTTACTATGATAGGGGTTGGGGTGGTTTCCAGGGCGTTGCTATGGTGTTCTGACTGGTTGTTAGAATGTTACTATGATATGGGTTGTGGTGGTTTCCAGGGCGTTGCTATGGTGTTCTGACTGGTTGTTAGAATGTTACTATGATAGGGGTTGGGGTGGTTTCCAGGGCGTTGCTATGGTGTTCTGACTGCTTGTTAGAATGTTACTATGATATGGGTTGTGGTGGTTTCCAGGGTGTTGCTATGGTGTTCTGACTGGTTGTTAGAATGTTACTATGATATGGGTTGTGGTGGTTTCCAGGGCGTTGCTATGGTGTTCTGACTGGTTGTCAGAATGTTACTATGATATGGGTTGCTGTGGTTTCCAAGGCGTTGCTATGGTGTTCTGACTGGTTGTTAGAATGTTACTATGATATGGGTTGTGGTGGTTTCCAGGGCATTGCTATGGTGTTCTGACTGGTTGTCAGAATGTTACTATGATATGGGTTGTGGTGGTTTCCAGGGCGTTGCTATGGTGTTCTGACTGGTTGTCAGAATGTTACTATGATATGGGTTGTGGTGGTTTCCAGGGCGTTGCTATGGTGTTCTGACTGGTTGTCAGAATGTTACTATGATATGGGTTGTGGTGGTTTCTAAGGCGTTGCTATGGTGTTCTGAGACTGGTTGTCAGAATGTTACTATGCTATGGGTTGTGGTGGTTTCCAAGGCGTTGCTATGGTGTTCTGAGACTGGTTGTCAGAATGTTACTATGCTATGGGTTGTGGTGGTTTCCAGGGCGTTGCTATGGTGTTCTGAGACTGGTTGTCAGAATGTTACTATGCTATGGGTTAAGGGGGTTGCCAGGGTGTTGCTATGTGTAGTGTTTTTGGCATGTGGTGTGTGTTTGTTCACCTGAAGAAGTCGCTGCAGGCCGCGAGAACACAGCGGTGGCACGGGAGCGTCTCCCCCTGCACCCGGATGCGGAAGTCGAACAGCGCGCGCCTCTCCCGGAAGTCCTGAAGAACCCCGAGCACGCGCTGGCCGTGTGACGCGCACACCAGCGACACAGAGCGCGCCTCATCATGACGCGCGTCCATCAGATCCAGCGCCAGTCTGACATCAAACTTAACACAATTGACACGTTTTTAGTTGTGTAGCGATTTACAAGCTTGTTTGTGGACATTAAAGATGGCTAACTATCAGTGTTATTATTTTACAGAGACTCATCATGACTAATGTAAACAGCGCTGAAGTACCTGAGCTGATCGCGCTCCTCTGTTGTTATCCAGTGATCAGAGCTGAAACATCAGACACAAACTCACACAAATGAGCTTTTAAACTCAGTGACTTTCGCATTCTTGCTTATATTAACGATTCATATGAAGGCGTTTTGATTTAACTTGGAAGGATGATCGATCTACTGACGCTTCAGCACCAGGGACAGTGCGCAGCCTCCACTGCGCATGCGCAGATATGAGCGCGCTGAGTGCGACGGAGGAACTTCATGATTGGCTCTCTTCTCTCTCTCTTTATAGATAAATTTTTTTTAATAACAAGTAGCAGTGTATGGAAGCCCATTTCCGCCACATAAGAAAACATGCTTTTGTAAATCATAATCAAGTCGAAATTATGAGTCGCAAAAATCAGAATTATTACTTAAGATATAATTATGACATAAAAGTTTACATTATCACAAAAATAATAACAGTCGAAATTAGCACTTCAGACAAACGTGAAAATAAATCTAAATTATGACGTACTAAATTGAAATTATAACTTAAAATATTATAATAAGTCTGAATTATGACTTTAAGTCATGATAAAAATAAATGATGACATACTAAACCCAAATGATTACTTGTAATTATGAGTGTCATAATTTAGCCTCTTTATGTCTTATATTAAAATGCATAATTTTAAAAAAGCCTTAATAACGTCAAAACTCTAAATTGAAAGTGAAAATAAATATAAAATTATAGTCGAAATTATAACTTGAAATGTTATAATAACACTCTAAATTATATTATAATATTACTCTAAAGTAATGACAAAAAAAAATTATGACACCAAGTAAAAATGACAAATCAAAATTATGAGTCAAAATTAGGCTTTAAAATTAAATTATCATTATGACATAAAATATCTAAATTGTGACAATCTAAATTATGACACAATTTAAATGACAAAGTCAGTTAAGACTTAAATAGACAATTATAACATACCAAGTAATTTATGAGATGAAAAGTCAAAATTATGAATTTTAATATAAGACATAAAGAGGCTAAATTATGACACACCCAGTCAAAATTAAGACTTAAAAAGGCAATTATGACATACTAAGTAATTTAAAACTAATTATGATTTACCAAAGCATGATTTTGGTAAATCGTAAAATATACATCAACACATAAATAACAATATATTATTTCTTTTATAATTGATCTATGCAGAAACTGAACAGAGACAGTTTTGATGATGCGTGGAAATGAAGACTCCAGATTTCTTCAGTAAATGAGTTTATTGGGGAAAGATGTGTGTGAGAGTGTGTGTGTGTGTGTGTGTGTCGTCACTGCGATGTGGCCATGATGCTGGAGACGCCTGTGAACACGAAGACAACATCAGTCAGACTCTGAGGGACAACAGCAGCTCAACGTCAGGCATCACACACACACACACACACACACACACCTCTCACTCACTTTCTCTCACACACACACACACACTCACTCTCAAAGTCGATCTTCTCCACGATGTTCTTGGGCTTCACACACTCCTCCTGACTGTGGATGAAGATCTGACCGTCCTCGTTCTCTGTCCAGCCGTACTTATTCATCCACACCTTCACCTGCGTGTCTGCGGGAGATCAACAACATCAGTGAGAGAGAGTGAGTGTGTGTGTGTGAGAGAGAGTGTGTGTAAGTGAATGTGTGTGTGTGAGAGAGAGAGAGAGAGAGAGAGTGTGTGTGAGTGAATGTGTGTGAGAGAGAGAGTGTGAGTGAATGTGTGTGTGTGTGTGTGTGAGAGAGAGTGAGTGAGTGTGTGTATGTGTGAGAGAGAGTGAGTGAGTGTGTGTGTGTGTGAGAGAGAGTGAGTGAGTGTGTGTGTGTGTGAGTGAGAGAGTGTGTGTGTGAGTGAGAGAGTGTGTGTGTGAGAGTGAGAGAGTGAGTGAGTGAGTGAGTGAGTGTGTGTGTGAGAGTGAGAGAGTGTGTGTGAGTGCGTGTGTGAGAATGTGTGCGAGTGAATGTGTGTGTAAGTATGTGTGTGTGAGTATGAGTGAGTGAGTGTGTGTGTGTGTGTGTGTGAGTATGTGTGAGAGAGTAAGGGTGTGTGTGCAAGTATGAATGTGTGTGTGAGTATGAGTGTGTGTGTGAGTATGAGTGTAAGTATGAATGTGTGTGCAAGTATGAATGTGTGTGTGAGTATGAGTGTGTGTGTAAGTATGAATGTGTGTGCAAGTATGAATGTGTGTGCAAGTATGAATGTGTGTGTGAGTATGAGAGAGTGTGTGTCTCACCCAGAGGAGTGAGGGTGTGTGTGTGTGTATGTGTGAGAGAGTGAGAGTGTGTGTATGTGTGTGTGAGAGAGAGAGTGCATGTGTGAGTGTGTGTGACTGAATGTGTGTGTAAGTATGAGTGTGTGTGTGAGTGAGAATGTGTGTGAGTGAATGTGTGTATAAGTATGAGTGTGTGTGTGAGTGAATGTGTGTGTAAGTATAAGTGTGTGTGTGTGAGTGAATGTGTGTGTAAGTATGAGTGTGTGTGAGAGTGTGTGTGTGTGTCTCACCCTGAGGATCCCCCAGCATCTCAGCGAGGAGTCTGTACTCGATGTTCTGATATGTGATTCCCACAACATGACAGATGACTAGAGAGAGGATTCATAATAAGTGATATGATGAAGAAGTGCTGGTCATAGAAAGCTTCAGGTATTGTTAATATGAACATGTAAAAGCTGTGATGTTTAGAGACTCATGATGAGTTTAAATGTTTGGAGATTTCCTGTATGAAAGTTTGTTTCTGCCATAGAATACAAATCGGAAAAAGTGATTACGACTTTTTATCTCAATCACCAGTTTATATCCCATAATTCAGTTTTTTGCGAGTAAAAAGAAGGTCATATTTACATCACTTACATTTGCGCACCGATTCCTCAAATCCTGTGATGCCATCAATGAGATCTCTGTTCTCCTCCAGACTGGACTGAGAAACACACACACACACTACAGTTCAACACAACCTCTCCAGTTACTGACCACTGTGTGTGTGTGTGAGATGGAAATGTGTAAGAGTGAGTGTGTTTGTAAAAGTGAGTGTGTGAGAGTGTGTATGTGTGTGAGAGAGTGTGAGTGAGAGAGTGTGTTTGTAAGCGAGAGTGTGAGTGAGTGAGTAAGAGTGTGTGTGTGTGTGCGCGTGAGTCTCTGTGTGTCTGTGAGCGCATGTATGTATGTGTGTGAGAGAGTGTGTTAGAGAGTGTGTGAGAGAGTGTGTGAGAGAGTGTGTGAGAGAGTGTGTGAGAGAGTGTGTGTGAGAGTGTGTTTGTAAGAGAGTGTGTGTGTCTGTGAGTGTGAGCGCGTGTATGTATGTGTGTGTGTGAGAGTGTGCATGTGTGTGTGAGAGAGTGAGTAAGAGAGTGTGTGTGTTTGTGTGTGCACGTGTGTCTGTGAGTGTGAGCGCGTGTATGTATGTGTGTGAGAGTGTGCATGTGAGAGTGTGCATGTGTGTGAGAGTGTGTGTGTGAGAGTGTGTGTGTGTGTGAGAGTGTGTATGTGAGAGTGTGCATGTGTGTGAGAGTGTGTGTGTGTGTGTGTGTGAGAGAGTGTGTGAGAGAGTGTGTGAGAGTGTGTGTGAGAGTGTGTTTGTAAGAGAGTGTGTGTGTCTGTGAGTGTGAGCGCGTGTATGTATGTGTGTGTGTGAGTGTGCATGTGTGTGTGAGAGAGTGAGTAAGAGAGTGTGTGTGTTTGTGTGTGCACGTGTGTCTGTGAGTGTGAGCGCGTGTATGTATGTGTGTGAGAGTGTGCATGTGAGAGTGTGCATGTGTGTGAGAGTGTGTGTGTGAGAGTGTGTGTGTGTGTGAGAGTGTGTATGTGAGAGTGTGCATGTGTGTGAGAGTGTGTGTGTGTGTGTGTGTGAGAGAGTGTGTGAGAGAGTGTGTGAGAGTGTGTGTGAGAGTGTGTTTGTAAGAGAGTGTGTGTGTCTGTGAGTGTGAGCGCGTGTATGTATGTGTGTGTGAGAGTGTGCATGTGAGAGTGTGCATGTGTGTGAGAGTGTGTGTGTGTGTGCATGTGTGTGAGAGTGTGTGTTACCCAGAAGCTCTGGAAGTGGCAGGTCTCCAGTAAGTTGCCCAGGTACAGGATCTGTCTTATCGGCCGCTCCTCTTGCTGCGACACCGTAGTCAAGGAAACCTACGACATCACCTCACACACACCACAGCCAATAACAACAACCACACACACACCACAGCCCATAACAACAACCACACACGACAGCCCATAACAACAACCACACACACACACGACAGCCCATAACAACAACCACACACACACACACGACAGCCCATAACAACAACCACACACACGACAGCCCATAACAACAACCACACACACGACAGCCCATAACAACAACCACACACACACCACAGCCCATAACAACAACCACACACACACACGACAGCCCATAACAACAACCACACACACACCACAGCCCATAACAACAACCACACACACACCACAGCCCATAACAACAACCACACACACGACAGCCCATAACAACAACCACACACACACCACAGCCCATAACAACAACCACACACACACACGACAGCCCATAACAACAACCACACACACACCACAGCCCATAACAACAACCACACACACACCACAGCCCATAACAACAACCACACACACACACCACAGCCCATAACAACAACCACACACACACACGACAGCCCATAACAACAACCACACACACACACACGACAGCCCATAACAACAACCACACACACGACAGCCCATAACAACAACCACACACACACCACAGCCCATAACAACAACCACACACACACACACACACGACAGCCCATAACAACAACCACACACACACACGACAGCCCATAACAACAACCACACACACACACGACAGCCCATAACAACAACCACACACACACACACGACAGCCCATAACAACAACCACACACACACACACGACAGCCCATAACAACAACCACACACACGACAGCCCATAACAACAACCACACACACACACACACACACGACAGCCCATAACAACAACCACACACACACACACACACACACGACAGCCCATAACAACAACCACACACACACACACGACAGCCCATAACAACAACCACACACACACACACACACGACAGCCCATAACAACAACCACACACACACACACACACACGACAGCCCATAACAACAACCACACACACACCACAGCCCATAACAACCACACACACACACACACACGACAGCCCATAACAACAACCACACACACACGACAGCCCATAACAACAACCACACACACACACCACAGCCCATAACAACCACGGCCTTTAAGAGTTCAGATCACTAGTTGTGGCCTTCACAGGTACAGCTCATAATGCTGATCGCAGTCCGACACACTAGTGAACAACACTGATGATGAATCCGCTTTATCTCCTATTACACGGCTCTGTGGAATGCTTGACTCTGATTGGTCAGTCACTCCATATAGCGGAATATTAGTGCTGGGCGGTGTGACCAAAAATCCAGATCACGGTATTTTTCTAAATTATACCGGTTTCACGGTATATGACAGTATTTGTGCTCATGTTTATTCAACGATGTCATAGATTTTCCAAAAGGCTGTGTTGATATTGTGAACCAATGTATGGGAAACACTGTAATATAATTTGACAGCTATCAATTATAGTTTAACCTCTCCATCTTCAGTCACGCTTAGTAACACACGCATCACCACAGAATGCAGGAATGAAAGGGACCCTCTCAAACAGCGCCGCGCTACGATCGTTATTAAAGCGTCATACACCGGTATTGCGGTATATTAAAAATTCATATCATAACAAAAATAAACACCGGTATTCGGTATGAACCGGTATACCGCCCAGCACTACGGTATATTATTCCCAGATAACAGAAACACCGGCTCACCCGCTGTACGCTCGCTAGGAGACCTGACCCCGATCACGCCGTCCGGTTTATTCTGAGCCGTTACACGACACCGTTTCAACCAAACACGTAAAACTTTCGGCCGTTCGTTTACACGACAGCGGCGTTTTGGCGCCTGGAAACACCAAGTTTTGAAAACGGTCTCAGTGTGAACCACAAAAACACGAATCTCTGAAAACGATGAGGTCATGCACATGCGTATCACATGTTCAGTCTGCAGTGTTTCATCGCCATCTACTGGCCGGCAGAGGAACAGCGCTTTTAGCCGTGCTCGCGCATCCGTGTGAGCGGGATCGATTCGGTGAGAACGGTGTCGTCTGTTCGCGGAAAACTCAAAGGAAAAACTTCTCGGTTTTCGTTGTCGTGGAAACGCACCCTGAGACAACAACCGGCTTGATGGACATCACCCCTTACATATAATAACACAGTTTATCTTTGCTAAGCGACTCGCTCTTCTGCTGTTTGATTAGCTTGCGTGACACAGACGGCTGTGGATATATCGGGCTGCTGTGTCCGGTGTCCGTGACAGGAACCGGAGTGTGTGTCTCCTGAAGGATACGTGGGTCTGGTCGATCATACACTTGCAGAGTGTGAAGTCAGTGTGAGGAAGGTTGGTCAGAGCCTTGAGCAGAATCTGAGCCGTGACGGTGGTCTGGAAGTACGCCGGGTTAAACTGGTACCTGAGGACACACACACACACACACATACAGATAATCTACAATCAGAGATCTCACTTATAGGGGTGTCGAAATTAATCGTTTCTACGATGCATCACGAGTGACACACACACACACACACACACTGTGTGTGAAAGAGACTCACAGTTTGAGCACGGCCAGGTTGGCCTCCAGGTCGTAGGCGTTCTCTCTGGCCTGTGTGTGTGTGTGTGTGTGTGTGTGTGTGTGTGTGTGTGTGTGAGACTCACAGTTTGAGCACAGCCAGGTTGGCCTCCAGGTCGTAGGCGTTCTCTCTGGCCTGTGTGTGTGTGTGTGTGTGTGTGTGAAAGAGACTCACAGTTTGAGCACGGCCAGGTTGGCCTCCAGGTCATAGGCGTTCTCTCTGGCCTGTGTGTGTGTGTGTGTGTGTGTGTGACTCACAGTTTGAGCACGGCCAGATTGGCCTCCAGGTCGTAGGCGTTCTCTCTGGCCTGTGTGTGTGTGTGTGTGTGTGTGTGTGTGTGTGTGAGACTCACAGTTTGAGCACGGCCAGGTTGGCCTCCAGGTCGTAGGCGTTCTCTCTGGCCTGTGTGTCCACATACCGCTCCAGCGTGGACAGGTTCTCAGGGTTGTATCTGTGCAGATTATTAATCAGATCAGCTCAAGCTTCCGGAGACGATGAACGTCACAGTTATTGACCTGAACTGAATCAACATCGATCTGAATAACGACACTACTGTCTTCTGTCCAGCTCAGTATTTGTTTCATAATTACCCTGCTGAAAAACAGGCTTGGGAATGGAAAAGGTCAGGAATCGGATACTAGTTATAAAATTATAATATCGATTACTTTGTGAGTGTTTCAATATGACTTTTCGAACGAGAGACGAAAGATTTTCTGCTTTCAAAAAACACTGTTTATTTCATTCATAATTTTGTTCAGTTGTATGTATTTGTTGCGATTTCTAATTTTTTATTTGTTCTTTTTTAATTGCTGAGTGTTTACTTGTCTTTAATAATGCTCGAACTTTATATTAGTTAAGCTAGTTGTTTTTCTATGGTTTTTCTAACCACATTCAAAGTGTGCTTTATCCTGTTTATTTGTGTTCATTGTATTCAGCTACAATTAAATGTTTTGCAATAAGACGAAATGTGAATGATAGCTCGATAAGAATCGGAATCGTTCAAATTCAAACAAATCCCTACTGAAAAAAACAGCTAAACCAGCCTAAGATATTTGACTGGTTTTAGACTGTTTTAGCTATTTGACTGGTTTTAGACACTTCTTTAGCTAAACAATACTGGTTTTAGCTGGTCTACCAGCTTGACCAGTATAAAACTAGTCTGTTCAGGTAATAAAAAGTGTCAAAATCCTCTAAAATCTGCTAAAACCACAACTAGCTTAGGCTGGTTTCAGCCATTTTCCCCAGTAGGGTTTTGAACTTTACTTCATTGAATCTGTTGACAAGTCGCACAAGCACCTACTTTCAATAACTCAATTCTGTTTTACGTTAATTAAGCGCTGTTGGTGTGGTGACAGGCTCTGCTGTGTTTTATTTACTGTTATTAATAAAAACTAATCAACAATAAAGCGATCATCTTTAAGTTAACGTTACCTGTCGATGCCCCGCAGAAGTTTGCCGACGTTCGCCCTCATCTGCTCAAATGTCGTGGCCATGATTCCAGATCCGAGTGTTTATTCAACTTATATATATATTTTATTATTATTAAAATAACGTTTTTATATATGTTTTTCCTTTATTTTCCAGACACTCGGATCCTCACGAGCGAAACAGCGGCGCGTGCGAGCGGCAGAGATCGACGTCATCGGGCGCGCGACAGTCACGTGACTCAGCCAGGAGCGCGCACGGTTTTTGAGAGCGCCGCCGCGCGCGTGGACGGAGTCATTGCACTCAAATGCACAGTGTCAGTAATTAAATACACCTTTTATGAGTGTGTGCGTTTTTAATCATATCATAAAACACACCCTGAGCCTTATTCATTATACACGCCATGCTCATATTTCAGCGCAGATGCTTCCATTTAATAGTTTAGCTGAATAATTACAATAACTGCCTGCAATATTATGAAATACCAGAGACAATTTAAGGACTTTGGAAATACAGACCCAGAATAAAGGCTTTGCCTTTAAAGTAAAATTTATTTAGTTTTGAATCCTGTTCCAAATATGTGTGATTACATGTAATCTGCATTACATAATCAGATTCCCAAAATTAAGTACTTGTAATTAGATATTACGTTTTAAAATGCTTATTGTTGATGTTAATTAATGCATGAACTAATGTTCCTCAGCCGTAATAAAACAAATGACACGCATATCAAGAGAAACTGAAATGCAAGGAAACTTAAAGCTCCAGTCGGCAAGTCTGGCAGATTGAGTGGATTTAGGAAAATTTTGAATGTTTACAACTCTCATGCCCCTCCCCCACTATCAGCGGATACCCTCCCACCCAGTTCATGCTCGTCAGTGCGTGTGCACCAGATTTTCAGTGAACGCCAGGGCTCTCAAGTGTCACGCATTGAGCGTGACAGTCACTCATTTCGGTCTTTTGTCACGCTCTCCCGCCACACATTGTATTTCTCACGCTGAAAAACTATTTGTAATATATTTAATATGCCGCAGCGCCCAAAACTCTGGCCGCGCCGCTCTCACTGTGGAACCGGCATGAATCAAGCGCGTTTCCTCTGGTGTTGTTCGTCGAGCTACACAATAGCCAATCAGAAAATAGCACTATTGTATCTGGGTAAGATTTAACGCAACAACCAATGACAAAAATGTATCCGTCGGCTGGGTGTCACTCTTACCTGTCTTCAAAACTTGAGAGCCCTGGAACGCGCCCGTCTCATCAGCATCCATCAACACCATGGAGTATTTGGAGGTATGCTGTCCTGGCTAATCTACCGATAGATTGCAATTGCTAACGTCATTTATACTCTAAATGAGCTTACTTGATTTTCCGCCATCACTCTTCGTTACTCCGCGAACTTCAGGCGTGTGCATGTGATTGTAACGTGCGCGAGGGGTGGCGTGTGCCCGATCTGTGATTGACAGTCAGATCTCACACCCCCCCTGCGCTGATTGGACATGATGAACCGGGAGCTGTGGATTTTTGCAAAACAAATAACAAGCTCCAGGTGGAGTTAGAAGCTCGGGGTTTTTTCTAAAACCACTTTATTTATGTTGTTCTGTCAGATTATAGTGTCGATTTCACTGAATATGCTCAAAAAAATGTTGCCGACGGCAGCTTTAACAAATGATTACTATTAAAATTAAACAGGCAGAATTTGATTTAATTGTGCCATCGTCAGCACAATAAAACACAAACCACAGAAATGTGTGTGACATCCATTTATTACGCAATTCAGAGAAATTTCAAATTACAAAGATCAGTTTATTTAAAGACCTGAATGTTGTGTAGTCAAACTGAGAATGAGGGAAAGTCAGGATTAAATGATAATGTTTCCATGTTTGCCTGAGGAATCCTGTGACGGAGGAGTAGAAAACTGGGGGGAAAATGTGTGTGTGTTCCTATCAAAAGCTCCTGGGAAACACAGACGGATATATTATTATTATTATTCCCGGAGCCGAATCACAGAGTTTGCCTTGAGAAAAATAATCATGATTTGTGATGCAAAAATGTCTTTATAAGAATCTTGAAAAATACGCTCTAGATCTAGGAAACAAGCTTATATGAATGCATTAAAAAAAAAGACAATTTATAATATTGCAATAAACATTTGCTGGCGACGAGAGATGCTCGGATTTGTATAGAAATGCCTGTGCTGATCGAGCGCGCACACACACACACACACACACACACATGCTCAGGATGGGCGGAGCAGGGAGTTCTGGGAAGGGTCAAGGCTTGTTCTAGCACCCTGCATGAGAGGCCCTGACACCCTGAACGCAGACATCAGCCCTGACCGCTTCACTCACGTGTGTGTGTGTGTGAGGCGCATCAGTCGCCGGCTGGTACATGCAAACAGGAAGTACCCTAATAGTCTGTTGCCATTAAACAGAGAGACAACCACGTACATCAACGCCACCATACGCTAAAACTACATACAAACAGCGTAGAGAGGGAGAGGGAGAGGGAGAGGGAGAGAGAGAGAGAGAGAGGGTGTTTAGGCTCGTTCTCCACGGATGCGGCGTGCCAGCTGGATGTCTTTGGGCATGATGGTCACACGCTTGGCATGGATGGCACACAGGTTAGTGTCCTCAAACAGACCCACCAGATACGCCTCGCTGGCCTCCTGCACACACACACACACACACAATTAATTTTATTTTTTGGTTTTAATTTGAGACATTTTTTGTATTTTTAAAATGTTTGTATAGTTTTTAGCTATTCGTTTTTTTTTTCAGTTTTGGTTATTCAGTACATCAAGATAAACTAAATGAAAATGTGATTTTTTTTTATATTTTCTAAAAAAATTAAGTGTCTAGTTTTTATTCCATTTGTTATATTTTGAATTACATTTTATTTCAAATTAGATTTTTTTCTCTCAATTGTCTATATAGTTCATTATCATTTTTTCAGTTTTAGTTTTAGTACATCAAGATAAACTAAATGGAATTTATATTATTTTTCTTTTCTTTTTTTTAAAACATGTCTAGCTTTTATTCATTTTCATATTTTGAATTACACTTTTTATATTCTTAAAAAATTATTTTCATATTAATTTAATATAACTTATTATATTATATAATTAATTTAATATACTAATTAATTTTTATTTTACTTAAAAAAAATAGTTTTTTTGATTTATTTATTTTAGTATATCAAGTTAAACTAAATGTCTGGTGTTATGAATTTTTATTTTTAATTACTTTTATTTTTTAATATGTTTATTATATTTTTAGTTTAGTAATTGTAATTTTTTTTGTTGCAATTTTTTATTTATTTCAGTACATCAAGATAAACTAAATGAAAAAGATTTTTTAGAGCATGTCTATTGTTTTAATTCATTTTCATATTTTGAATTAATTTTAATGATTAGTTTTGAGTTATTTTGAACTGAGAAAGCTTGTCCCTGGTGTGTGTGAGTGACCTCTGACCTGCAGCGCTCCGATGGCGGCGCTCTGGAAGCGTAAGTCGGTCTTGAAGTCCTGCGCGATCTCTCGCACCAGACGCTGGAAGGGGAGTTTGCGGATCAGCAGCTCCGTGGACTTCTGGTAGCGGCGGATCTCACGCAGAGCCACGGTCCCGGGCCTGAGGGACACAGAGAGACGTTAGCATTAGCGGCGTCAGAAGACAAACAGAGACGTTAGCGTCAGACGACACACAGAGCCGTTAGCGTCAGACGACACACAGAGCCGTTAGCGTTAGCTGCGTCAGGCGACACACAGAGCCGTTAGCGTTAGCTGCGTCAGACGACACACACAGCCGTTAGCGTTAGCTGCGTCAGGCGACACACAGAGCCGTTAGCGTCAGACGACACACACAGCCGTTAGCGTTAGTTGTGTCAGACGACACACAGAGCCGTTAGCGTCAGACGACACACACAGCCGTTAGCGTTAGCTGCGTCAGGCGACACAGAGCCGTTAGCGTCAGACGACACACACAGCCGTTAGCGTTAGTTGTGTCAGACGACACACAGAGCCGTTAGCGTCAGATGACACACACAGCCGTTAGCGTTAGTTGTGTCAGACGACACACAGAGCCGTTAGCGTCAGACGACACACAGAGCCGTTAGCGTTAGCTGCGTCAGGCGACACACACAGCCATTAGCGTTAGCTGCGTCAGACGACACACAGAGCTGTTAGCGCCAGACGACACACAGAGACGTTAGCGTTAGCTGCGTCAGACGACGCACACAGCCATTAGCGTTAGCTGCGTCAGGCGACACACACAGCCATTAGCGTTAGCTGCGTCAGACGACACACACAGCCATTAGCGTTAACTGCGTCAGGCGACACACAGAGCCATTAGCGTTAGCTGCGTCAGACGACGCACACAGCCATTAGCGTTAGCTGCGTCAGGCGACACACAGAGCCGTTAGCGTTAGCTGCGTCAGGCGACACACACAGCCATTAGCGTTAGGCGCAAGGCGAGCATTTGAGCTTATAAAACTTAAACTTTGTTATTTATTTTTTAAATGGCCGATCGTTTCGCTTGATAAGACCCTTATTCATCGTCTGGTGTCGTTTAAAGCCATTTGAACAGTTTGCAGTTAGCACTGAAACTGTCTTTTGGACCTTGAACCGTTTGGTGCCCAGCAAAGTGCATTATATGGAGAAAAATCCTGGAATGTTTTCATCAAAAACCTTAATTTCTTTTCGACTGAAGAAAGAAAGACATGGACATCTTGGATGACATGGGGGTGAGTAAATTATCAGCAAAAGTTTTTTTAAAAGTGAACTAATCCTTTAACGTCAGCTGCGTCAGACGACACACAGAGCCGTTAGCGTCAGCTGCGTCAGACGACACAGAGCCGTTAGCGTCAGCTGCGTCAGACGACACACAGAGCCGTTAACGTTAGTGGCGGTCAGACGACACAGAGCCGTTCGCGTCAGCTGCGTCAGACGACACAGAGACGTTAGCGTCAGACGACACACAGAGCCGTTAACGTTAGTGGCGGTCAGACGACACAGAGCCGTTAGCGTTAGTGGCGGTCAGACAACACAGAGCCGTTAGCGTTAGCTGCGTCAGGCGATACAGAGCTGTTAGCAGCGTCAGACGACACAGCCGTTAATGTTAGCGGCGTCAGACAACAAAGAGCCGTTAGCGGCGTCAGACGAGACAGAGCCGTTAGCGTTAGCCATTAGCGGTATCAGACGACAGAGCCGTTAACGGTGTCAGACGACACAGAGCCGTTAGCGGCGGTCAGCCGGCACAGAGCCGTTAGCGTTAGCCGTTAACGGCGTCAGAAGACACAGAGCCGTTAGCGTTGGTCACACGACACAGAGCTGTTAGCGTTGGTCACACGACACAGAGCTGTTAGCATTAGTGGCGGTCAGACGACACAGAGCCATTAGCAGCGTCAGACGACACAGAGCTGTTAGCATTAGCGGCATCAGACGACACAGAGCTGTTAGTGGCGGTCAGACGACACAGAGCTGTTAGCATTAGCGGCATCAGACGACACAGAGCTGTTAGTGGCGGTCAGACGACACAGAGCTGTTAGCATTAGCGGCATCAGACGACACAGAGCTGTTAGTGGCGGTCAGACGACACAGAGCTGGTAGCATTAGCAGCGTCAGACGATACAGAGCCGTTAGCATTAGTCTCTGACGACACAGAGCCGTTAGCGTTAGCCGTTAGTCTCTGACGACACAGCGCCGTGTGCGTGTGTCGCGTCCTCACCTGTAGCGATGGGGCTTCTTCACTCCTCCGGTGGACGGGGCGCTCTTACGGGCCGCTTTAGTCGCCAGCTGCTTACGAGGAGCTTTTCCTCCAGTCGACTTACGCGCGGTTTGCTTCGTACGGGCCATCCTGACACACACTCACCTGAAACTGAATAACAAGAACTGATAAGAATGTAAATCTGTACCTTGAAATGCAATGTAATTCACTTTGGATAAAAGTGTTTTCCAAATGCATAAATGTAAACAAACTAGATGATGATGATGATGTTGAAGAGTCACATGACACTAAGGTACCTCAAAGAATATCTCTATATTATAGAGTTATACTAATACACAATCACAAAAGTGACCATTAATAATAATAATACAGAAATATATAGAAATTTCTATTTATTTAAATCAATTTTTTTTATTTTTTGTTTTAATAATTTTAATTTATTTTCATGAAATGTATTTTTAAATTAAAAAAATATATATTTATATGGATAATTTTTTTAAATAATTGTTTTTATTATTTATTTTAATCAAATTTACAAACCAATTTTAGCACTTATTTGTCCATTTTATTTAAATAATTGTAATTTTTTATGATGTTTTTCAATCAATTTGTATTATTTATTTAAATTATTTTTTATTAATCACGTTAGTCATTTTTTTTCAATCAATTTTTATTTTATTTTTTTATTTACATCAATTTGTATTATTAATTTGTTTCAATCATTTTTAAATTCATTTAAAATAAATACATTTTTAATCCTTATTTATTTTAATAAAATATTATGATCCTTAATTCATCAATTTTAGCATTTTATTTAAGTCATTTTTATTATTTATTTTTAATTTACGTCAATTTGTATTATTTATGCACTTTAGTTTAAATCATTTTTATAAATTTTTAGGAATTACGAATTAATTCTTTATTTTGTTTCTACACTTTTTCACAGACCATATTATAATAATATAATATTATAAAAGTTACCGTTAATATTAATAAATAAATATATTCAAATATTTCTGAAGTCGTGATGTGAATCTATTATAAACGTTTCCTTATTGAGTTTGAACTCCTGCATGTGCTTAAAACAACAACAAGCTCCTCATGTCAATCATGTCTCAAAGGTCAGCCTCGTCGTCCTAATATTCATGAGCCGACCAATCAGAGCACAGGAGATAAGCCAGACGGTTGGCGCTAGCCACGCCCCTCATCTGTGAACATCATGGCGCCTGTTTGATACGAACCGTAAACTGAGCAAGAAAAGACACGAACTAACGACAAAACTTCGACAATTTCACTGGGAATCTCACCACTGTTCTTGCCAATTACTGTCGGACAACAAAGAAAAGACCCTAGGGATGCATCCTCGGAGGTTTAAAGCAGGAATGGAGGCGTTTATGTGGATTTTCGGCGTTTGTGAAATATCAGTTTATTTTGGATGGATTTTGAGGCTCGCGCGACTGAAGCGCTTCAGTATTTCTCTGATATAAACACAGACGCGGTCAAATTCATTCGAAATACCACAAAACGCGTTTTTTTCTGCCTAAGATAACAATTAAATATCACACATTTATATTCACACGGACCTACTGATCTTACCTTAGTGGAATTGTGTTTAAAGAGTGTTTAGAGTTGAGCTTCAGTGTTATTTACCGTCTCTCGCGCACAATGACAGCGGAAATGCGCCAATCAGCGGCTCCCACAATGCAACGCGCTGGAGTCTCTCCACCGGTGTGTTCCAAAATTCATCTGTTTAAATCACTATAACAGACTAATATTATTAATATACATGTATTATTAGCGCACTTCACCCTGATATCAAACACATGATCAATGCAACCAATAGACCAAATTATTGTGGTGGAATCAGATGGTAATATTATGTTTTGTCGCAGGGTGTTAAGGTGCTTTAAAGCAGGATTTCAGTCTTTCATGCCGGAGACTCCATATATGATCATCCTTGTGCGATTAACCCCCATTTTCATGCGTAATTTGTTCTGTAACAAATTATAAATTATGTTTATAAATGTGAAAAATATTATTTGGAAAATATCATATATAATTTACATTAAGTTTTTACTAGTACTTTATGTCGCAAATATTGTTTGAACGCTGTGTCCAATAAAATATATGGGGGGAAAATGTTTTTAGTAGTACTGTTGGATTTATTTATATTTTTTTGAGTGTTTATTGGTTTTTAAATTAACTTTTATTTATTTGTAAAAAAAAAAACGTTTTAAATAATATTCGTATTATTTATTTTTATAAATATGTATTTATTTAAATCTATGTTTATTATTTATTTATCCATTTTTTAAAACGTTTTTGATGTTTATTTGTTTGAATAATGTTTTACATTTATTTTAATGAAACTTATTTAAATCAATTTCTATTATTTATTAGTTTTATTATTTATTTGGTTTAATCCTTTATTTATATGAAATGTATTTTAATCATTTTTTATTTTAATCAAATATTTTTCAATCAAATGTTATTTATTTGTATGAAATGTATTTATATAATTGTTTTATTTATTTTAATCAAATATATAAGCCAATTGTTAGTTTTATTTAAATATTTTATTTATTTATTTTTAATCAAATGCATTTAAATCGTTTTTTATTATTTATGTGTTTTAATCAAACGTATTTAAGTAAATTGTATAGATGCTTAATTTATCCATTTTATTATTAATTTTAATTAATCATTTGTTTTAATATTTTTTTCCATTAAAATGTATGTATTTAAATCAATTTATATTATTTATTTAAATCAAGTTTGATTATTTGTTTTAATCATTTTTATTTAAATCAATTTATATGATTTTTTTATAAAAAAACATTAATTTGTCTGTTTTTATTATTTTATTTAAATCCTGTTTTATTATATATTTTAATCAAATGTACTTAAGTTGTTTTATTTATTTATTTATTTATCCATTTTATTTAAATAATTATTTTTACACTGTTTTTCTCTGAACTTTTTCACGGACCCTAGTTTGTAACTGAAATTTAGCTTGAGTGAAGAAAACATTAAGCCTATGGAACAATGAACATAACACATTATCATGAGATATCACATGACTACAATGTGTGACTCACAAAAACTGCCTGTGGAAACAAATCATTACAGAAATGACATCCATAACATTTTTACCAGAGAAAATGTTATTGGAGGAGAAATACTTAAATAAAACAGAGCCCTCAAAAACAGTTCAACACCAATTTATTATCTGTGTATTACAAAGATTTGCTTCTTAGACGTACAAAAACACAATCGATCACTTCGTGATAAAAACCATGAAAGGGTGTAGAAAAATCCTGAGTGAGTGTCTGCCTAAACATCGCACTAAACAACTCATGAAGAAGTACATCAAATGGTATAAAATAGCTACAGTCTTGCTACATACGCTCATCAATAACACAAGATTCAGTGTGTGCGTGTGCAGAGGACGACTGGGACACGATCTATCCCATAATGCATCACTGGAATCACACATGAAAGAAAATCATTAGCACCCGAAACGAGTCCTGGACCGACTTTATTCAGACCTGACTTCACGAAACCCAGTGATTTAATGCCTCGAGTCCTTCAGTCAGAGCCACGTGAACACACACACACACACGAAGGTTTAGGCTCGTTCTCCACGGATGCGGCGTGCCAGCTGGATGTCTTTGGGCATGATGGTCACACGCTTGGCATGGATGGCACACAGGTTAGTGTCCTCAAACAGACCCACCAGATACGCCTCGCTGGCCTCCTGCACACACACACACACACACACACACACGAGTCACATGACCTGCACATTCAGTACATTGTGTCCACACACACTGAGGATAATGTTTTGATTTGTCCCGTGTTTAGTAATTCTGAATGGATCTGTGTGCAAAAAAGCTTACAGAAAATACAGTTTTGTGAGAGTCATCATTGTATCTGATGGTTTACTTTCCTCTTTTTTTAAACATATCTTTATGGCTTATTCATTCATATTTTGTGTGTTGTCTCTGGTGTGTGTGAGTGACCTCTGACCTGCAGCGCTCCGATGGCGGCGCTCTGGAAGCGTAAGTCGGTCTTGAAGTCCTGCGCGATCTCTCGCACCAGACGCTGGAAGGGGAGTTTGCGGATCAGCAGCTCCGTGGACTTCTGGTAGCGGCGGATCTCACGCAGAGCCACGGTCCCGGGCCTGGGGGACACAGAGAGACGTTAGCATTAGCGGCGTCAGAAGACAAACAGAGACGTTAGCGTCAGACGACACACAGAGCCGTTAGCGTCAGACGACACACAGAGCCGTTAGCGTTAGCTGCGTCAGGCGACACACAGAGCCGTTAGCGTCAGACGACACACACAGCCGTTAGCGTTAGCGGCGTCAGACGACACACAGAGACGTTAGCGTTAGCGGCGTCAGACGACACACAGAGACGTTAGCGTTAGCGGCGTCAGACGACACACAGAGACGTTAGCGTTAGCGGCGTCAGACGACACACACAGCCGTTAGCGTTAGCGGCGTCAGACGACACACACAGCCGTTAGCGTTAGCGGCGTCAGACGACACACACAGCCGTTAGCGTTAGCGGCGTCAGACGACACACACAGCCGTTAGCGTTAGCTGCGTCAGACGACACACAGAGCCGTTAGCGTTAGCTGCGTCAGACGACACACAGAGCCGTTAGCGTTAGCTGCGTCAGACGACACACAGAGCCGTTAGCGTTAGCTGCGTCAGACGACACACAGAGCCGTTAGCGTTAGCTGCGTCAGACGACACACAGAGCCGTTAGCTGCGTCAGACGACACACAGAGCCGTTAGCTGCGTCAGACGACACACAGAGCCGTTAGCGTTAGCTGCGTCAGACGACACACAGAGCCGTTAGCGTTAGCTGCGTCAGACGACACACAGAGCCGTTAGCGTTAGCTGCGTCAGACGACACACAGAGCCGTTAGCGTTAGCTGCGTCAGACGACACACAGAGCCGTTAGCGTTAGCTGCATCAGACGACACACAGAGCCGTTAGCGTTAGCTGCGTCAGACGACACACAGAGCCGTTAGCGTTAGCTGCGTCAGACGACACACAGAGCTGTTAGCGTTAGCTGCGTCAGACGACACACAGAGCTGTAAGTGTTAGCTGCGTCAGACGACACACAGAGCCGTTAGCGTTAGCTGCGTCAGACGACACACAGAGCCGTTAGCGTTAGCTGCGTCAGACGACACACAGAGCCGTTAGCGTTAGCTGCGTCAGACGACACACAGAGCCGGTAACGTTAGCTGCGTCAGACGACACAGAGCTGTAAGTGTTAGCTGCGTCAGACGACACACAGAGCCGTTAGCGTTAGCTGCGTCAGACGACACACAGAGCCGTTAGTGTTAGCTGCATCAGACGACACACAGTGCCGGTAACGTTAGCTGCGTCAGACGACACACAGAGCTGTAAGCGTTAGCTGCGTCAGACGACACACAGAGCCGTTAGCGTTAGCTGCGTCAGACGACACACAGAGCCGTTAGCGTTAGCTGCGTCAGACGACACACAGAGCCGTTAGCGTTAGCTGCGTCAGACGACACACAGAGCCGTTAGCGTTAGCTGCGTCAGACGACACACAGAGCCGTTAGCGTTAGCTGCGTCAGACGACACACAGAGCCGTTAGCGTTAGCTGCGTCAGACGACACACAGAGCCGTTAGCGTTAGCTGCGTCAGACGACACACAGAGCCGTTAGCGTTAGCTGCGTCAGACGACACACAGAGCCGTTAGCGTTAGCTGCGTCAGACGACACACAGAGCCGTTAGTGTTAGCTGCGTCAGACGACACACAGAGCCGTTAGTGTTAGCTGCGTCAGACGACACACAGAGCCGTTAGTGTTAGCTGCATCAGACAACACACAGTGCCGGTAACGTTAGCTGCGTCAGACGACACACAGAGCCGTTAGCGTTAGCTGCGTCAGACGACACACAGAGCTGTTAGTGTTAGCGGCGGTCAGACGACACACAGAGCTGTTAACGTTAGCAGCGGTCAGACGACACACAGAGCCGTTAACGGCGGTCAGACGACACACAGAGCCGTTAGCGGTATCAAACGACAGAGAATTGTAGCGGCGTCAGACGACACAGAGCTGTTAAGGGTCTCAGACGACACAGAGCTGTTAGCATTAGCGGCATCAGACGACACAGAGCTGTTAGTGGCGGTCAGACGACACAGAGCTGTTAGCATTAGTGGCGGTCAGACGACACAGAGCCATTAGCAGCGTCAGACGACACAGAGCTGTTAGCATTAGCGGCATCAGACGACACAGAGCTGTTAGCATTAGCGGCATCAGACGACACAGAGCTGTTAGTGGCGGTCAGACGACACAGAGCCATTAGCAGCGTCAGACGACACAGAGCTGTTAGCATTAGCGGCATCAGACGACACAGAGCCATTAGCAGCGTCAGACGATACAGAGCCGTTAGCATTAGTCTCTGACGACACAGAGCCGTTAGCGTTAGCCGTTAGTCTCTGACGACACAGCGCCGTGTGCGTGTGTCGCGTCCTCACCTGTAGCGATGGGGCTTCTTCACTCCTCCGGTGGACGGGGCGCTCTTACGGGCCGCTTTAGTCGCCAGCTGCTTACGAGGAGCTTTTCCTCCAGTCGACTTACGCGCGGTTTGCTTCGTACGGGCCATCCTGACACACACTCACCTGAAACTGAACAACAAACAAACTAGATGATGATGAGAACAGTCACATGACACTAAGAATATCCAGCATGTCTACTATTTGATTTTGCATGAATGCAAAAATGCATACAACACGATGTGGAAACACTTAACAATAAGGTTCATTAGTTAGGCTAACATGAACTAAGAATGAACAATACTTCTACAGCATTTATTAATCTTAGTTCATTTTAATTTGAACATTTACTAATAAGTTATTACAATCAAAGGTTGTATTTGTTAACATTAGTTAATGCACTGTGAACTAACATGAACAAACAATGATCAGCTGTATTTTTATTAACTAACATTAACAAAGATTAATAAATACTGTAACACATGTATTGCTCATTGTTGGTTCATGTTAGTTAATACATTATCTAGTGTTAACTAATGAACCTTATTAGTGTTACCCTAGATGTTTAAATAGTCAATATGCAATATTTACATCACAAAACTACACTTCACGGTAGATGTTTACTATTTGACTAGCAAAATCCCATGAACATTTCCATTAAGATGCTCTATTACACAAGACAATATTTTAGAAGTGTAATAAAAAACAAATATACACAACAAAAACATGTTTAAAGAGTAAATATGAGGTTAGTATTACCACATAATAAATAACAACAAAATAAACAGTATTTGCATACATTAGACTTAAATGTAGAAGTTTAGGGTACAAAAATTTGCATTTCTAATACGTATTACTGTAATTATATATCTGTATGATTAATATTATTATTATTTATTAAAGAGTTTAAGTATGCAAAATAATATTTATAAAGGCTTTTTCGTGGTGTTTTGGCAAAGTACGTTGAAAAAAAAATTAACAGAATTAAAACAGACTCTAGATTACGTCGATCACAATTTTAGTGTGACACCCATCAATCAACATGTTCTCTGCCAATAAACGCGAGCTACAGGCCAAAGGGCGTGGCTTCAGTCACTCCGCACCAATCAACGCCCAGTGTGCACATCAAGCCCCGCCCCCTGTGCGGTGACATAATGGCTGCTAGAAATGAGAGAGAATAGATAAAACAGCATTTTATCGAGTAAAGCACAACAAACAAACGACACGATTTCCAGCGTATTACAACTACATTGATCGCGTTTAGCGGCGTACAGCGGTAGCGCACACTGTCAGCAAGTGTTTTTATATAATCACTGTGAGTAAAAGTGTGAGAATGAGTTTAATTCATCGAAGGAAAAGCGACAGAGATGAGAGTGAGCGCGCGACCCGTTTGTCTCACCTCAGATCGAGACCGTTTTATAGCATTTTCCCACACGATACTCAGAACGTTTATAAACGTGATGGATTCCCTTCCTCGTTAAACGGGCCGGTGTGAAGTGTGTACCTGGCTAGGACTCACCTGTCGCCGGGTGTTTGAGAGGTTGTGTTCCGCCGTGGAGGGGTTTTGCTGCTTGAAGAGTGTTTGAGGTGAAATGGCTGTTAGTCTCCCATCATACACCGCGGCTCGCGCGCCTCATTACACTAATCACACACACCGACGGTTCTCTCTTTCTTCCTTCATAATAGTGTTAAAGCACAGTTTTAAAAGCAGAATCACTTTTTACTACGTTAAATAAACTATTCTCGTATCTTTTTGGTCAATGTAATACGGTAAAAGCAGATTATCCGAGAATGACACGCAAAAGCAACACCGTAATATTTGTTTTGTAAAAAATGACTAAAATCATAATTATGATGATACTAAATCGAAATTATTACATTAAAAATTCGAAACTAAATTCTTACTTAAAATGTCATAGTGACAAAAAGTCGAATTAATGTCATAAAAACAATTAAAATTATTAATTAAAGGGCCAGTTCACTCAAAAATTGAAAATGATGTAATCTTTTACTCAAGTTGTTACAAACCTGTATGAATTTCTGTCTTCTGCTAAACAGAAAAGAAGATATTTTGAAGAATATGGAAAAACTAAAAAGTTTGTTCTCCAAACTATGGAAGTCAATGGTGCCTTACAACTGTTTGGTTACAAACATTATTCAAAATATCTTCTTTTTTGTTCAGCAGAACAAAGAAATGTATACAGATGTGTAATAAATGTTGACAGAATTTTACATTTGAGTGAACTATCCCTTTAAAAAGTCAATTATAACAAAAAGTTTAAATTATGACAGAACATCATAGGCTAATTGAAAAAAATGTAAAGACACCTAATATAAAATTGAACCAAAGTTACCAAAATGACATATTTAAATGTTTTTTCCTCGAAAAATAAATCGTTGACGATCACACGTTGATCTGATTGGTTACAAGGTCGTTTGTGACGTCAGAAACACCAGCGATTTCAAACCGTGTTTTTGAGACTGTCTTTGGTTCACTGCAGTTTTAAGCAGAAAATACTCAGCAATGCTGTCGACTTATGAACTTACACATGGTTTGTCTTAAAGCGTATTAAAAACACCACATAGACACATAAACAACATTAAAAGCTGGATTTTCACCACAGGAAGACTTTAATACAAATGATGATTTATCAGTTGGTTTTTATTTGATTTTGCACCTTAAAGTTGTTTTATACAGCGAATCCACACTGTAATATTTCAACTTTTTTTTGAAAATGTTCAAATCATTGGATTTACACAGCTAGGAATAACAACACACCAAAAGAGCCATGCTTTGATAAGCGTTTCTGTACAGAAAAGGTCTCCGCATTAGAGATATGAGAAGTTCAGTACACATAAGGCACCAGTTTGCGTGGCACTCGGCGACAGTACTCTCTCCAGGCGTCGCCGTGCTTCTTCAGGCACGAACCTTCGATCTCGTTTGCTCGTTGCCTCAGTAAGTGGAAGCACTGCAGCGCTGGCAAGTACGGCACAATGCTGGAGAACCCTGGAGAACAGACAGATTTATGAAGGTACATTTAAGACCTTTTTAAGACCAAGTAACATACATTTAAGAGACACCAATATGTTCTCTAAATGTAAATGTTTATGGAAAAACACTTCAGAGTTTGGAAATACATCTTCCAACATTTTAACTTTTAATTCATTTTACACACAAAAAAAAAAGTTGCTCAAAACCACTACAATATGGAAATATATTTTACTGTAATTCTGATCAAACTGCAAAAAATATTCTAAAGATTCCTAAATCAAGATACATTTACTTCAGATGTAAAATGACTTGAAATATGAAGTCTTGTTTTCTGTGAAATTTATCAAAATTAAGTTCATGACTAAAGCAAGAACAAATATCTACCAATGGGCTCAGAAAAATCTGAAGTTTTGACAGATATTTGTTCACTTAATTTTATTACATTTACTTCGTTTTACATTTGCATCTCAAGTAAATGTGTCTTGATTTAAACTTGCTTAGATATTTGTGTTGGAAACCAGTACAAAAACACTGAGAAAGTATTCATTTTTTGAATGCATGCATAATTTAATGCCATGACTTTAAGACTTTCTGCTCTGATTTAAGACTTAATTTGCAATTTGGGATTGTAAATTAAGACTTTAAGGCCTTTTTAAGGCTTGCAGAAACCCTGAAACTGATGTGAACTGATGAGTTAATGCTCGTACCGCAGGGGAGACACCAGGCAAACATCATCAGGATGTCTCCTAGATAATTAGGGTGTCGGACCCATCCGAACCATCCGGAAACCAGGAGACGTCTTCCTGACGGGCTTCGGATTGTGTGCAGACCTTTGAAAGAGACGTTGAGATCATGCATTTACTTTTATGCATGTGAGAGTTTGAGTAAAATCTCAATCTTATTCTTGGCATGCAATATAGTAAAAATGGAAACGTGGAGAAAACAAAACCCCATCACACGGATCTGAGGGCGCGGGCGCTTCGGTCTGCGCAAGCGCCGGAAGTGATCTCTCGCGCGTGTACGTCACTCATTGTTTACACAGAACAGAGATTGTAGGTAAGACAGCTAATTAAAATGGTACTAATTTGGCCTTATCCGGGATGTTTAAACCGTCGTAAAAAAAAAAAAAAAAAAAAAAAAAAAAAAAATTGTATGAGTGACGTACACGCGCGAGAGATCACTTCCGGCGCTTGAGCAGACCGAAGCGCCGGCCCCCTCAGATCACTTGGATGTGGCTGTGTTTACAAGAGGTAAAAACAATATAAATACTGTTCGTTTTCTCACACAAACCGCTCGTTTCGTGTCTTAGGCCATCAATGTGTACTTACATTTACGAGCCATTAAATCATGTTTAATTTGGACTTCTCTGTGCTGCTCTTTGAGGTGGTGACCATAGACCTGCATTATATGACTGACAGACAAGAACGGTTTGACCTAAAAATATCAAAATTGAAACTCCTGCGGAAACAAAGACACCTACATCTTGGATGCCCTTGAGGTAAGCTAAAACACACCAAAAATTTATTTCAAAGTGAACTATCCCTTTAAGACGTGCAAAAGTTCTGATTTAATTTTTTACGTCACAAATACCAGCTGTTTTAACCCTTCTGGTACAGTTCATGTGTCGCTCAAAAAATGGCCAAATGTTTTTTTTTATTATTTCAATGAAATAATTTTATTTCATTTTTTTAATTAAATATTTTTTATTTTTAGGGGATTTTGTGGTGCTATATATTTTGTGGTAAGTTATATTTATGCAGTAGTTATAACCAATTTATTAACTTTTTGAGCATTGACCTGAAAATTAAATTTCCAACTTTAACCCTTTATCGGGTGAGGAACCATATTTGGTAACTTAATCGCGCATTCAAACTAACTCTCCCCTGCCTGTTTGCGTTGTCGTATGAGCGCATATATTTCTCCTAGCCAATCAGCGAAGATCAGGCTACGTCACTGATAGTCACACCATGGCATCTGACCAATCAGAAGTTGCGCGGAGCATTTCAAACTTCAGTGTCGTTCTGGATATTGGAAAGTGAGGTTATGCGCTACTACCTACCCCCACATCAGCGCTAATAACTTCAAAACAAAAAATGGTAAGTTGATGAAACTCACACATTCTATGGTTGAATAGTTGTGCAACATGTTGAGATAGGTGTTGTTTGCATAGATTTCTTGAAAGTAGCGACATTTGTGGCATGAAAAATGGTGAGACCATATTTGATCATACGTAAGATGTTCACGTAAGATTAGCGCAAGTGATAGGAAGACCATATTTAGACATACGCCCTATGCGTATAGAAAAGCCGTACTAGGGTATTTTTTCTACAAATAATGCATTATAACCACAGTCTATGATTATAATGTAGGACAATAGTATTTACTAGTGCATTGGATGTTATCACAGGTTTGAATAACATTTTAAAGTGATCCAGTGGGAAACGTAACACATTTATAGACATTTTCAAGCCATATTGGATATTGAAATATGTGTGGTTTTGGTCAGTTTTATGACCTTTATAACAGTTTTTAATACTTATAATGATATTTTGCACTTCTTATTATATATTTACATATATTATGACAGACCAGTCCAATGTTACTCACTTATTTTTCTTATTATTTATATTTCACTAGATCTGCACTTCACTGTTACTCAACAAATAACTCAAACTGGGCTTGATATTGCCTCAAAAATGTACTCTCTGTTCTTTGCAGCTATCTACGCAAATCTTTTACGGCAAGAGGGAGACAGTTGTGCCAGCCCACCCCAGCATCAGTGATGATGAGGGCTCTGAGGAGGAAGATGATGATGTGGCAGACCCTGACTTCCTCCCAACCACCCACCAACCCACCAACTAGACACTCCAGGCCAGAGTGATATAGGCCCCTCTGCCAAGAGGTGTAATTTAATTTAAAATGTTCCTAATAATAATTTAAAATGTTCCTAAATAAATATTTTTATGTTTGTAACAAGTTTATGTGTTTTTATTATATTTTTATATATACACTTTTTAAGGGAAAAAAAATTACCCTAGACTGGCGAGGAACCATATATGGTAACTTCATTGCCCTTGATTTCCAACCTAAATTTTTTTTTTTTTTTTTTAAACTCACAAATGTTTAGAAGTCTTATAATATCCTCCAATAACACTCTATGGTTGAAATTTAGAATTTCCAAGTATTTCAATGAGTGCCCTTTTGGAGCAACAGACTGAAGTTTGGTCTCTTTTTAAAGACAAAAACGTTTTTAAAAAGTGAACTTGGAAATAGTTAGATTTACTTAGAATAGTTACATTTATTGTTATCAAAAATGCACAAAAATACCATTTTTAATTTTGATATGAAATATATATTTTCCAAAACATTATACAATTATATATACATTAACATTATATTTTACTTTGAAATTGTGATAATATCAAAGCCATAAATCTAAACAAGTTGTGCTCCGCATGTGAGGTTGATCTCTCAGTAAATGAGCGTTCAGTGAGATGTTGTTCGGCTGCAGTACCGAACGCTTCCACTAGAGGAAACTCTCATTCATTTCCAATGCGCGAAAACAATACAAGTGTGACTATTTTTCAGGACCGTTAAACCTTTTCAAATCATGTCAATGATTTTTTTGTGTGTGTGTGTGTATGTGTGTTCACACAGCAAGTGCAAAAACCTTTACCAAGTTTCTTACCATTCTGATGAAGTAAAAAAAAAAAAAAAAAAACTTAAAATTTTTCAGTCAAAAATGACCGAAGAGCACCAGAGGCCAGACTTTTATATATCCACTGTAAAAGCAAGCATGATGAGAATATGAATATGAAGATGTTACACATACTAGCGTAGGCCGGGTCGTTTGGGTTTCTGCGGAAACCGTCTTTCTGCTCGTTGGACAGGTAATAAATCAGGAAGCCAATACCTGTCAATACATTTCACTGAGTATTTTAACAAAAACTAGATTGTAATCAAGTCTACATGAATAAAATACTGTTGATAATGTTGCATTCTCATGTTTCTTTCCTAAGGCCGCGTGTCCACCAAAGCCGGCTGAAAACACAGCTTTAGCACAGCGGTTTTAGACGCTTTGCTACGATAGGAATATCCGGGTAAGTGTTCCTGGTATCTCATTTCACAGATGGTTTGTTTCTGTGTTGTTTCTATATAAAAATGTCAATACAATGTAAAGTATTTGTTTTTTAAATTATTTTGTTCTGTTATTATGCTTGTTGTCGTCATCTGTTGACGTTGAACAAACAGAATGTGGCAGTTGGTCGGTGTGGTATTAGCCCCGCCCCTCCTCCACTGTGATTGGACGGCTGGGTAAAAAGTGACAGTGATGAGCGCTGCGTTTTACCCAAACATTCTTCAACTCTCGGCGACCGGTTAAAAACGCAGAGCGCTTCAGCGTGAAAAAGACGTTCAGCGCCTCGTTACGCTCATGGCGTTTTAAAAACGCGGCGCTTCCATTGAAAACAATTGAAAAAATACGCCAGCCGCGTGAAAAAACAAACACTTTAGTGGACACACGGTCTATAAACGTGAGATCTGATGGCTGATTGATGAAGATTATAATAATAATTATTATTCTCACCGAAGAGCAGGCAGATGAACACGGCAAACAGGAAGTGGATCTGATTGGGCCTCTGAAGCAGGAAGTAAACAGGAAGACTGGAGAAGAACGGGATCCAGATGAACTCGCCCAGAATCATGATGAACCCGATCGGCTCTTCTGTGAACTCTTTGGTCGTCAGCACAGACTCCTAACCAAGCATCAGAAAAATCACACAATACAGCAGAATAACTAATAATAACAATACAATAATAACAAATTACATCAAATTTGGAAAAAATATTGGGATATTTCATAAAAGTAACCTTGGATGGAGCAAATTTTTATCCAATAACATCTAAAAAAAACGTACACGCTCAATTCAGATAGATCATGGTTTCATCCGATAACAAGTCATGCACATAAACTACGATGGAAACACATTTACTGAATGAATCCCTCAATAAACTCTTGTGACTTTGGCTCAGCTGAGGCTGTGATTGGATAACCGGTCTAATCAGCGGACCAATGGCATCGCAGCATCTCTAATGTTGGTTTGGTGTTTCTGAAAGTGTGAATGATTGGGTGTAATTCCCTCCAGAAGCGTCTCACACACACGAGTGTGTTCCCGAACACCAGCATCCGATTTCACATGTTCTGTCAGTTTCTTGGTTATTCGAACGTTAAGCAAAACATTCCATTTCCTCATTCTTCAAACATCATGAGAACGTTACTTTAGAATTTTCAGAATGATGATCACATAATAAGCCAATAAGAAATCAGTGTGGCCTGCTGACCTCATCGATGAGGAAGTCCAGTATGTAAATGAGATGAAAGACGATCACTAGCAGCAGAGAGAGAGACAGCGAGGTCTTCATCTCTACAGCGGTCAGGAGATAATTCAGATCCATCATGGCCTGCGGGACAAACACACACTCATCAGTCACCACTTCTCACTGCGCTCAGAAAACTCATGAACACACACTCACCCAGCCGATGAATCCAACCCTGACCATGAGGAAGTGTTTGACGTCGATGATGCCCAGACGAGGATCCATATTCTGACCCAGAATAAACTTCAGCAGGGGATCCGCTATAACACACACACACACCTTTGAACACCCTTGTGAGCAGTGTTGTGTGTAACTCATTACAAGTAACTTGAGATACGTAATCAGATTACTTTTTCAAGTAACTAGTAAAGTAACGCATTTCAATTTACAACAAAATATCTTTTACTTTTTCACATTTATTAAATGCAATCTCAGAATTTTACTCAACTTTTATAATTAACTATATTAAATTACACAAATATACTTTATGTATTTAATCTCACTTTATTAACCAATGTCTTTGCTGCTGACCTTCAATGATCTAATTCAACCATAATAATAAGCAAAAATTACTGTAGATTAGTTTTAGAAATAAGAGTGTTGAACTTCCTTCTCCTGTATCCTACTGTTCGTTAATCCAGAATGACAGCAGCTGAAAGGTTTGTTTGAGCGGCGCCCTCTACTGTACAGGCGTAAATATGCATTTCTTTCAGTCTGAAGGCTCGTACACACCGGGACGAATATCGGCGCCAGCGTTTTTCAACTCGTTTTTTGTGTTCACACCCAAGCGATTTTCGCTGACGATGAGCCGAGTGAACATGCAAATTCATTCCCTGACATTAGATGGCGCCCATTTGCTCTGCAATACCACTCCATAACATTCTCTTTTATCAAGGTTTTTGTAGTCGCTGTCGCGTTTGTCATATAGTTCTTTATGTTCCGACAGACCGACACCAACGAGACCAGCGGCTCTACATTCATCTCGCCTTGCATTGGCAGTGTAGACGCTACTTTGCGTATATCTTCTTCGCCGTTACGTATGTGTGCTCGGCAAGACCGTTTTGTGTTTGAGCGCCCCCAAGGTGTGTTTTACTGTAACTTCAGAAACTCCAGACACGCGAGCAAAAGCGCCAATCTCATTGGTTGGATAGTTTTTGACGCGGCGCGTCAAACAAAAAAAACGAACCCGAGGCGTTTTTTTTTATTAAAAAATGACGCTTTTACGCGTGGCGTTTTTCGCGTCGGTGTGCACACTCACATTGGCGCCCTTTGTTTAGTCACGAGGCGTTAAACGTCGGCGAACATCGGTGTGTACGAGCCTTGAGACTTATTATTTCACTTTTGGTGTGAAAGGACCTTAACATTTGTAACTTTTTTTTGTTGTTATTAAAAAACAAATGAGCCCAGGTGAGAAAAAGTAACGCATTACTTTCCATAAAAAGTAACTAAATAACGCAATTAGTTACTTTTTTGGGGAGTAACGCAATATTGTAATGCATTACTTTTAAAAGTAACTTTCCCCAACACTGCTTGTGAGTACACTGGCGTTTAGTGTGTGTGAGGTGTGTCGCACCTGTGTTGTCGTAGTGCACCAGTGCGGAGGCGTGTGTGTTGATGGGACGCAGGTACAGCGCCAGGCTGAGCAGAAGAGAGACGGCCATGCCAGCGCTGACCAGAGAGAAGATCCGGTCCGTCACGGCTCCGGCCCGCAGGGCCCCACAGAACCACAGCGCCGACAACAGAGCCGCGCTCAGCAGGAACGCATACAGACCTGCAGCAGAACCCTGAAACATGCTCAACTCATCCAGAAACATGCATATAGTGTATATATGAGGTGATTTGTGTTCAATCTCCTACCGTTGAGTTTGTATTTTAAACGCTTTCCATTACAGCCCATCTTGCCTTCTGTCACCTGCATAGAAGAGGATGAATGAATAATAGACAACTGGTTAACACAGGAAAGCTGATGTTTCGGGTCTCACCTGTCCCACAGGTAGATGATAGAGCGCCCCCTGCAGGACGGTGAACAGCAGAACCACACACACAGATGTCCAGTCCCAGATGGACCCGCCAGAACCCAGCAAAACCCAGTCAGAGGAGGAGCGACAGCAGTCCAGCAGAGCTATGAGAGAAACACCCAACAACACACACACCAGAGACAGATCTGACACACACACACACACACAGAGACACACAGAGACACACACACAGACACACACACACACACACAGACACACACACAGAGACACACACAGAGACACACACACACACACACACACACACACACACACACACACACAGAGAGAGACACACACAGACAGACACACACACACACACACACACACATTAGTCATTAAAAGCACAATTGATAACTAATTGTTAATACAAATAAGTATCTCTGGATACATTTAATATTTGATATATTTTTATATTATAAATCAGTGTATAATGGTTTATGAGCATGCACATTGAAAAAGCAAATGCATGACTTATAACTTATAAGTAATAATAAAATTAGTATAAATGTAACCATTACTGTTCTAATAATGCAGTCTTAATAAATATTATTATTATTATTTATAGAATAGTAATACTTACTTTTAAATAAGTATAAATGGGGCTAAAATGCATTATAAGCATGGTCTTCATTGAAAGTCTTACCAGAAAAACTATGGCACTTAATATTGTGAAAAGCGCTATGCAAATAAATGTGAATTGAATTGAAAAATGTGAACTTACGGATGTTGTTCCATTTACTGTGGACCTGAACGACACCTTTGCCTTCATCATCCTCATCCTCGAGCTTCAGTCTGTGTGATCCGTTCCTGTGCGGCTACAGGACAGCCCGAAGTGTGTGAATAAATACAGAGCGAATCTGGATTAAACACATGATTTCATTTCACAAGCTCACCTGATGTTCCTGTGCATGAATGAACTCGTCCAAAACCATCGTGCCAACTCAAATGTGATCTCTAACACTGATGTTCACGAAAGACTGAGGTTTTTATGCTTCAGCTGTTACTACACACACACACACACACACACACACACACACTACTGACGCAACACACAGCGAAACTCGCAATAGCAGAGAACGTTCAACGGACGGTCGTGTTGAGTTGCACTAACTTCCCTCATTCTGAAGGAAAGATCTGATGAAAACCTCAAACACTTCATTAAGCCGCCATGCAAATCCCCAGGAACTCTGGCTAACGTTCTTCTGACAAAGTTACGAACGTTAATGGAACGTTTGTTCAAAGTTATCTGGCCTTATAATCATATTTTAGCTGGACGTTCCATCTAACGGTTTTTAAATGTTACTAGTTTCAGAACGTTCAGAGAACATTCAAAATTGACGTTCCCATGATGTTTGCAGAAAATGGAATATTCCCTTAACGGTCGCATATAACGTTTTTAAACCATTTAAAACAACTAAAACGTTTTGAACGTTCCCTAGTGAAAAAAGTATACTTTATTGTATTTGAAATATATTCCCCTTTTCAATAGCACATAGCAAATATACTAACAATATACTATAAAAAAATATACTAACAATTTTTGTTTTACTATCTTTCCATATTAAAGGTATATTAGCATCATGCTTTACCCCTTTTTTTCAAAATACAACTTTTAACACTTTAAAATAATTGTACTTTAGTATATTTTCTAAAAATATAATTGAAGTGAAAATTCTGTTTTTTTTTTTTTAAGTGTAGCCTATTTATTTGCACTTTACTTAAAAATATATTTTAGGTATATTTGAACTGTGTGCTAAAAATGATCATTGTAACCATGCATTAAAAGTATACTTATTAACAATAGTATATTGTACAAAGTTTAGCTTTAGCTAAATAATGTTATTTTATTAATGTGCATTTGTTATTGAAGACAACGTGTGCAATTTGTAGTATTTGGAATAAGCCAAATGTATTATATACTTTTTACTCAAATATAATAGCCTACACTAATGGTTATTGCTTGTATGATTCGAAGACACTCGTAATTAATTTGTAATGTACTCATAACACAAATAAAGTACACTTTAATATCACTAATCAAGCATGTAATTAGTCCCTGCACAAAAAGTATATACTTGAAGTTGTTCCAACAGCACACAAAAGTACACTAAATACACTTAAAGTGATGCTTTACTACAATTGAATTACAACTAAAATATACTTAGTATAAAATTAGTTGTTCCAAAATAGCACACTTCAAGTTAACTAATCATTAACACTTGAAGTATACTGAATTAGTCTGGCTGCAAGTATATGGAGCTAGAAATGTGTCTTTATTACATGCAAGAAAATAAATGATCTAAGAGAAAAAAAAAGTTTGAGAAAAAGTTCTCACTGATAGCAAAAAAGCATTTCATGAGAGAAAAAATAATATTTGAGAGAAAAAGTTTTCATACCAATAGCAAAAAATAATGTTTGAGACTAAAAGTCTTGAGAGAAAGTATTTTCTCATAGAACATACAAAAATATAAATTCGAAATTTTTTTAATTATTTCTGAGAACAAAAATCTCTCAAAATACTTTGAACCCCCCCCTCCCCCCCCCCCCCCCCCTCCCCCTCCCCCTCAAAACCAAGTATACTTAGCATATTTTTTTCACAAGGGTTATTAATGTTCTCAAAATGTTATCACAAAACCAAAGGGGAAAAGCAACAAAATATTTTAGTTGGACGTTCCATCTAACGTTTTTTTCTTTCTAGTTTTAGAACGTTCAGAGAATGTTGTTTGCAAACATCGGATATTTCGATATATAGTTCAGTCAGATAAAAATATTGCATAACTTATTGGGAATTTTAGCACTACTTTGGTTAATTAAAAGTGATCATTGGTGTAAGTCATTACAAATAACAATGCAATGCTCGAGTATTTGATGTTTTAATAACAGACTCCCTTATACAAACTGTATATTGTGATATTGTTGGCCACGTCACCAGACTCAGGCATATAACCGTGTGCTAAATAAAAACACATGCAGTGGAGATTCAATGATCTTAAAGGAAAGCGGTGTGGAGGAATGGATTCTCCCATGAAACCGTCCTTTTTCATACATTGACGAGGCGCTGTCATCTTTTGGATACACACACACACACACACACTACAATGAGACAAAACATCGGTCAGAACTGGATGCATTTGCAAAAAAATAAATAAAAAACGAATGGATGGTATTATTAAAGCAGTATTTTAAAAAACGAACAATAAAAATACACAAAATGTTCCAACATCCACTAATTGGTCCATTGCATTTCTCAAGTTAACAGCAAAAACAATGACAACGCTACAGTCATACAAAACAAAAGTCCCAAAATATCTGAGATAAAAAATTATAATAATAATAATAAACACAAATGAGACTTAAGTGTTAAGCATACATACTGTCAGGGGTAAAACACTGTTTTTTCACATAATATTCAGTGATTAGCTGGGAATGATCGCATATTCAGTAGCTTGGCCTTTGTCTAAAACACCTGTAGGAGAAGAAACGTTCACTAAAGCAGCCGAAATCACATGATGTAACTCATTCAGGGCAATGAGAGTGTTATTCTACGCAGACGTCTAGAAAGACTCAATGTCCTCAAATATGGATCATCACATCCTAGCATCACACTACTGAGTGTTCACTACAGAGAAAACATCTGTTCGTTAGTCAGGATCATAAACTTCCAGCTAACAGGGGATGTTCTCTCTAAGTTAAGAGCAAACGCTCTTCCAGTAACGTTAAAAGAACGTTCGTTCAAAGTTATCTGGTCTCGAAACATTAGATCAAAAATAAAATTCATGAAACATATTTTTTTAGTTGGACGTTCGTCTAACGTTTTTTAAATAGAACGTTCAAAGAAAATTCTAAAGTAACGTTCTCATGATGTTTGAAGAATGAGGAAATGGAATGTTTTGCTTAACGTTCGAATAACCAAGAAACTGACAGAACATGTGAAATCCATTGACATATTCTATACCGAACACCTTAGCTGTGTTTCCATCCAAAGGTACAAAAGTTTGCACAAAAATTGGAATATGGCATAAAACATTTGCACATAAAGCAGCGTTTCCATCCCATGTGTTCAAGAGGACAAAATCATCACTTCCTGGTGCAGAATATCAGTAATAAACTAAAGTTTCTGCAATCGGGCTTTTTTCCCTCCATCATAAACGAGTGTGTGTCGAGCGTCAGACGAAACACAGTAAGCGCCGTCGTGTTCTCTAGCGTTCGGATGCTGGTGTTCGGGAACACACTCGTGTGTGTGAGACGCTTCTGGAGGGAATTACACCCAATCATTCTGATCACACACTTTCAGAAACACCAAACCAACATTAGAGATTGGTCCGCTGGTCAATCAATCAATCAATCAATCAATCAATCAATGTTCAAAAATGATCCACCTCAATTGAGTGTGTACGTTTTTTAAAACTTGTGCGCATCTTGGCGTTTCCATCAAGCGTTTTTATATGCGATATCCCAAAAATAGGTGGATGGAAATACAGCTATTGAATGCAGATTGGTTACTTCTGTTAACGTGATTTTTAAAAGCTGATCTTCTTAATGGGAATTATCGAATTGCCGTTTGATACAACATTGTCCTTTCGAGAAGTCTGCATGACGTAATACACACTTCACATTAGTGATCCAGATTTCTGAAAATAGTCAAGCTCAAATCAACATGTCAATGTGCAAAATTTTGCAAGAGGCATAGCAGGTGTAAGGGATAGCGCCTACTCCGTGCTACAAGAGTTAACCGTGGCGAGAAGTTCTCTCTTCGATTGCATCTGACTCGCGTTCAACAAGGCAAATTTCAAGAGCTTTAAACAGTCACGTGAACACGGCGCGATTTCATTCAGCTGTGACGTTCTTTTGCTTGGCAAAAACTTCGCAAATGTATAAAATCTTGCTTTCGCGTTATTGCCATTTCTAGACAACATTAACCTTGTTAATCTCTCCAATCTCTCTAATCTATGAAGTGGAAAAGTCGTCTAGCGGTTGGACGAATGTACGCAACTCTCAATGGCAAAGCAAAAGATGCACTTTCCCATCTGTCAGCTCATGAAGCACTAGCACACAAGAACAATAAATCATCAATCCCCCTACAATCTGCAAAACATTCAATGCATCTGTCGCAATGTACAATATAGGATCTTCATATATTAGTTATTCGAGTTTATTATTCCATTATAGAGTAGTCTGAATATGTACAATAGAAGACTCAATGATGAAATAAATAAATAGAAAGTGAAATGGCCGTGGCTTTCGCAGTGTTATTCGCTAAAGACGAGGCTAGCGGGGTTCCTGCAAAGAAGAGTCTCGATCTTCGATCGTTTGCAGTCTGTCTGTGCCTCATGGTCCCGTGTGCATTTACATGTGACGTTAATGTGCAACTAAAGCGTGGATGGAGGACACGTGTGTGTGTAACACTGGCTCCTGGCTCTCGGGGTGAGGCTTCGGCTATACGACGGTCCCGCTCGGCGAGTTTCCATTCTGTGCTGACAGCGGTTGAGACGGATGCTGGAGCAAAAACACAAGAAACAGACTGTAAAGCAAATCTACTGGATTTTATACAAAATGTATATTTTACAAAATAATTTGGAACCTAAAATTGGTACAAAATCAAAGTCATGTCTAAGCAATTTGTGTTCCAAATTTCAAGTTGATATCATAAAAAATTAGCTCAAATAGTAGCTTGCAACGCCAAGGTCATGGGTTCGATTCCCAGGGAAAGCAAGAAATGATAAGAATGTGAATGTGTACCTTGACATGAGATGCAAGTCGCTTTGGATAAAAGCGTCTGCCAAATGCATAAATGTACATGTAAAAATTGAGGTTGTGTGAGATTTTGTTTAGGCGCAGTACCAACAATAGCCACCGCACCGTTTGATGCGCACAAATATGTCACAATATCACCACAAAACAGCAGCTAAATATTGAACATTTAATCTATGTTTCATCTTGATGTTTTCCTTTTGTTTAAATTTGTTTAAATTTCTATTTATGGTCTAGGTGTTTACAGGCTTGCTAAATCAAACATAGTACCTTTTTAAGCATGTGCTTAAAGACCTTAAAGTGCTCGAATCCCATTAATCGCTGCTTTCATAAATATATATTTTTTTCCTCTCATTTGGCGCATTGCACGTGTATTTTGAAGTGTGCCGTTTAGATCGGGACTCACCGCTTTGCCGGGTCGAGCCCAAGTGCAGATGAGGCCCTCCTGGCACGCGGTGATGATGCAGTCGTTCATGAACACGAGTACAGTGAGTCGCTCGTGGGCGATTTTCTTGCACACTAGCGGCTCCAGCAGCGGCACCTCGTTCATGCGCGGACACAGCGTGGTTCCCAAGACCTTAGCGCCGTCTAGCCGGTTGCTACGCGGCGCCACGTTGATCTTATCGTTGCTTTTGCTGATGTTTCCGAGGCTGTGGTAGCGCTTGTGCTCCTTTTCGCCTCCAACCCCGGATTTGTCCGATTTGCGCTCTTGCAGCGATAGCGTAGCGAAGCGTCCGATGCTAAACGGCGTAGTTCCTCCAGCGGCGGCAGCGCCTCCGCTAACCGCGTTGCTCTCCGTCGCCCCCTGGGTTTTTGAGGTGTTTGCGACGGCAGGGTGCGGAAGTGAATTTGAGCGCGACAGCGAACGAGGTAAAGGTAGCGGTAACGTAGACGTCTGATGGGGGGGATGATGATGGCCTTCGACTACGCCACTTCCGCTAGTGATGTTTAACGCCGTGGATGTCGCAACGGTGGAGCCGAAGGTGTTCGTAAGCGCTCGGGAAAGCGGAAGTCGCGGATATAGCACGTCATCCGTAAGATCCCACAAACAGAATTGCGTGTCTTGCCCGACGGATCCGAAGCGGTAGGATACGGATGAAGCACCACCTTTTGAGCTGTGCCGCGAGAGGCGTGATAGCGTGCTGCTAGTGCGCACGCGTGCGAAGTGTAGCGCCCCCGGCTGGAGATCCTCCTCGCTCCCGCTGAGCTCCATCGGCTCCATCGGATCGTCGTCCTCTAGGTTAGTGGTAAACGGGTCGAACGCCACAACGTTAACCCAAGACTTGTGACCGTGTCCGCGCGCGACGACTCGGCTTTCCGCGAACGACCACACCGTCACTAGATCGTCTTCTCCGCCGGTTGCTAAGTACTTCCCGTCGGGGCTCCAGGACACGCAGAGCAACCCTCCAAAGTAGCTTTTCATGACTCCCTGAAGCTCCATGGAGTCGAAGTGGAAGACGCGGAGGCAGCCGTCCTGTCCGACACACGCTACGTGAACGCCGTCGGGCGAGAACGCGAACTCGTTCAGGCCTCCCTCGCCGACCACCCAGCGGAGTAACGGGTTGCGGGGGGTTTTAGTCTTGCAGGAGTAGACGGAGAAGCCCTCGCCCTGGCGGAGGAGGCAGTACTGAGGCGCCGTGGTCCCGCACGGATGCTCCACGTTGTAGAGGTAAAGGTGACCGCTAGCGTGAGACGCCAGGAAGAGGTTCTCAGACTTGGGCAGCCATTTTAGACACGTCACTTTTGATTTGTCAATCAGTCTCTAGGGGGAGAAATCACACAATATCAGCAACCGACGATATGAAAATCATACACAGACATTTATGATGTAAATATAACTTTCTTTTCATCAAAGAATACTGGAAAATACAATGTATCACGGTTTCCTCAAAAATATGAGGGAGCACAACTGTTTTCAACAACGATAATAATCATAAATGTATGAAATATGAAAATTATACACTGACATTGTCATCTCTTTTTTTCATCAAAGAATCCTGGAAAAATAACATGTATGACCGTTTTCACCAACAGGTTTTCAACATTGATAATAAAAAACGGTCGCCTTTGTCGCCATTGGCTTTTGGCTCACTTAGTTGGGGACATTTAATTTAATATTCAACAATGTTATTGATCTGCCTGCATTGACACCATTATATGAGAGCTGATCTGAGCTGGACGATGACATCACGGTTTACTGCATACACCTACTGTATATATATGATCTAAATTAATAACTTTTTACAACAAAAATGAACCATCACTGAACTTAATCTGGACTGTGATGCTATTTTTTTTCTGGAAACAAACTTTGCTGCATTATTTTCCTGTTATCTCTAACACTCTGTATTGTAAAAATCGCTATATAATATATAAATAAATAAAGGTGACTTGACTTGATAATAATCATAAATGTTTCTTGAGCATCAGATCCTCATATTAGAGTGATTTCTGAAGGATCATGTGACACTGAAGACTGGAGTAATGATGCTGAAAATACAGCTTTGATCACAGGAATAAATTACACTTTACTGTATATTCACATAGCAAACAGCTGATTTACATTACAATAATATTTCACTGTTTTTACTGTATATTTTGATCAAATAAATGCAGTCTTGGTGAGCAGAAGACACATTTATATATATATATGTGTGTGTGTGTGTGTGACAGAAGCTCTTAAAAACATGTCAAATCACATTGCATCTCAAAATCAAAAGAAATGTCACATTACACACTTCACCTTCAATAGTCATGAAAATATCTTATGTCCTAAATAAAAAGTTTTACATGTAAAATAATCTTTTCAGAACATATACTCTTTCCCCATAAGAGTATTTCCTGCTAATGAAGACCCAATAAGAAGCCACACACCACTGAAGTAAAGTTACTTTCAATTCAACATTATTGTGAGTTGTAAAAACAAAAGGTCAAGTAATAAAGACTGCGAGTAAGAGCTTTCATGCTTTGAGGAGATTGAAAAATACAAACTGCCACAAGGAAATTACTAAATATTTGTGGCTGTTTGCAAGGTTATGATCTAAAGAGTGTTCCTGTTTTCATATCACTGATGTAGAAACATGATGTCAGAACCCACAGGACATGTGTGACGTTCGCTGAACTAAACATCGACGGACCAGGATCGTCGAAACTGTTCGGCATGGACAAATATGAAAACAGGGATGGTAGAATTATGAAAATAAATCATCACTGGCCAAATCAGGACTGTACAGATTCTATATAGAATAGAACCTTAAAGGGTTCCGACAGACGCATCATATTTAGAACCTTTAGTGGTTCCCATAATGGGATCATTTTGTGGATTAAGTACATTTTTTAATTGTTTAATTCAATTCTATAAATTAAGCAGCTTGTAAACATACCTTATCACTAGAAAATGTTTAAATAACCAGTTAAACATGAAATTATGCTTTCATTTAAAGTCCCCCTGTGGTGAAAATAAAAACAGCTTTTAAATGTTGTTTATGTGTGTATATGGTGTTTTTAATACGCTTTAATACAAACCATGTGTCAGTTCATAAGTCGACAGCATTGCTGAGTATTTTCTGCTTAAAACTGCAGTGAACCAAAGACAGTCTCAAAAACACGGTTTGAAATTCGCTGGTGTTTCTGACGTCACAAACGACCTTGTAACCAATCAGATCAACGTGTGATCGTCAACCAGTGGATCTCTGAGCTGAGGGAGTGAGTGGAGGCGGGGCTCATTTGCATATTCATAGAATCGCGCATACTAAATGAGGAAAGGGTGTCGAGTTACATTCAAGATATTTTAAGGCCCTTTTTAAGGAAAAAAATGCTTAAATATGTCATTTTGGTGATCAAAGATGAGTTTTAAGGGATACAATGATAGACTACAGGGGGCTTTAAGACGTCTCTCCTTATATAGAACATGTTACGAGTCCTATTTAGACCCTTCATGTCTAAGAGTGTAACATCAGTGACTCAATAATGCAGATGTGTAATGAGTGTTCTCCTGTGCTCACCTCCTCGTTGAAGAGCTTGCTGGTCTCCTTCTTGATGGGGTCGAGGTACTGCACCTGTCCTGCGGAGAAGCCCACGATCAGAGCCACGCTGTCGGCGGTGGCCGAGTACTGGTTAAAGTCGTGGCACGTGGGCTGAGTTCCCTTATAGATGCGCTTGTCTATCGGCTTGCTGAGATCCACCGCCTGCAAACACACACAGATCCACAGGTTTATGTCTTTATTTGTATACACTGCAGAAATGATGTTCTTCCTCAGTGTTTCTGTCATGTTTTCCAGCGCAAATATCTAAAGATTCTTAAATCAAGATGCATTTACTGGAGAGGCAGAGCGACTGCTGAATGTGTGCTGAGTTTGTGCTTAAAACAAGAACAAATAATCAGTGTGGTCAGAAAAATAATCATATTTTTCTCTTTCAATTAAGATTATTTTTCGAACCACATTGACAGATATTTATTCTTGTTTTAAGCACAAACTCACTTCATCTTGATACATTTTTCAGTAAACAAGACTTAATATCTTCAGTCTTCAGTAAATTGATTTAAGAATGTTTAGATATTTGAGAGCGGGATGGGGATTTCTTCCGTTTTAATTTTAATTTTAGGTTAAACCTTTAGTCATTTTGTTATGGAAGCTTGTTTCCGTCGCAGAATAAAAAATAAAAAAGTAATTCTGACTTTTTATCTAATAATTCTGACTTCATTTCTTGCAATTGTGAGTTTATATCCTGCAATTCTAACTTTGTTCTCAGAATTGTGAGATATAAACTCAAAAAGTCATAATTACTTTTTTTATTTGTTGCTTCTGTGGCGATAATCCATATTTAATTATATTGTAAAATTTGAACATCTAACACATTTTTTGTTCAAATGTGCAAACAACAACTTGTCTTTTTAAATACATATAATTATGAAAACATGATGGGAGTCTCTGACCAGATCAAGAGGATAAACAAAACAAAACAACATCAACACTAGAAGAACTCAGGGTCGAGTGTGACATCTTGTGGTGGTTCAGTGGCCACTAAAACCAGTGTAAAAGCATTTCAAGGACTGGACACTGTTTATGTCCATCATAAACCAATGACCATCACAAAACTGATACTGAAAGCTTGCATATGCATTTGAGAATTTAAATCTAACATAACGAGAGTCTTGCATAAAGATTTCAATGTGATACTCTTGATCTCGCACTTCATCATCATCATCATCATCATCATCATCAATCAGCAAATGTTATATAGAAGTGCTGTTACATTGTAGCGGTTACATTAAAGCGCCGTTACATTAAAGCGCCGTTACATTAAAGCTCCGTTACATTAAAGCGCCGTTACATTAAAGCGCCGTTACATTAAAGCGCCGTTACATTAAAGAGCCGTTACATTGTAGCGGTTACATTAAAGCGCCGTTACATTAAAGAGCCGTTACATTAAAGCGCCGTTACATTAAAGAGCCGTTACATTAAAGCGCCGTTACATTAAAGAGCCGTTACATTGTAGCGGTTACATTAAAGCGCCGTTACATTAAAGTGCCGTTACATTAAAGAGCCGTTACATTAAAGCGCCGTTACATTAAAGAGCCGTTACATTAAAGCGCCGTTACATTAAAGAGCCGTTACATTAAAGCGCCGTTACATTAAAGCGCCGTTACATTAAAGAGCCGTTACATTAAAGCGGCGTTACATTAAAGCGCCGTTACATTAAAGCGCCGTTACATTAAAGCGCCGTTACATTAAAGCGCCGTTACATTAAAGCGCCGTTACATTAAAGAGCCGTTACATTAAAGCGCCGTTACATTAAAGCGCCGTTACATTAAAACGCTGTTACATTAAAGCGCCGTTACATTAAAGCGCCGTTACATTAAAGCGCCGTTACATTAAAGCGCCGTTACATTAAAGCGCCGTTACATTAAAGTTCCGTTACATTAAAGCGCCGTTACATTAAAGTTCCGTTACATTAAAACGCCGTTACATTAAAGCGCCGTTACATTAAAGCGCCGTTACATTAAAGCTCCGTTACATTAAAGTTCCGTTACATTAAAGCGACGTTACATTAAAGCGGCGTTACATTAAAGAGCCGTTACATTAAAGCGCCGTTACATTAAAGCGCCGTTACATTAAAGCGACGTTACATTAAAGCGCCGTTACATTAAAGTTCCGTTACATTAAAGTTCCGTTACATTAAAGCGACGTTACATTAAAGCGGCGTTACATTAAAGAGCCGTTACATTAAAGCGCCGTTACATTAAAGCGCCGTTACATTAAAACGGCGTTACATTAAAGCGCCGTTACATTAAAACGCCGTTACATTAAAGCGCCGTTACATTAAAGCGCCGTTACATTAAAGCGCCGTTACATTAAAGTTCCGTTACATTAAAGCGCCGTTACATTAAAGCGCCGTTACATTAAAGCGCCGTTACATTAAAGCGACGTTACATTAAAGCGGCGTAACATTAAAGAGCCGTTACATTAAAGAACCGTTACATTAAAGCGATGTTACATTAAAGAGCCGTTACATTAAAGCGACGTTACATTAAAGCGACGTTACATTAAAGCGACGTTACATTAAAGCGACGTTACATTAAAGAGCCGTTACATTAAAGAGCCGTTACATTAAAGCGACGTTACATTAAAGCGACGTTACATTAAAGCGCCGTTACATTAAAGAGCCGTTACATTAAAGCGCCGTTACATTAAAGCGCCGTTACATTAAAGAGCCGTTACATTAAAGCGACGTTACATTAAAGCGACGTTACATTAAAGCGATGTTACATTAAAGAGCCGTTACATTAAAGCGCCGTTACATTAAAGCGCCGTTACATTAAAGCGCCGTTACATTAAAGCGCCGTTACATTAAAGCGCCGTTACATTAAAGAGCCGTTACATTAAAGCGGCGTTACATTAAAGCGGCGTTACATTAAAGCGGCGTTACATTAAAGCGGCGTTACATTAAAGAGCCGTTACATTAAAGCGCCGTTACATTAAAGCGCCGTTACATTAAAGTTCCGTTACATTAAAGCGACGTTACATTAAAGCGGCGTTACATTAAAGCGCCGTTACATTAAAGAGCCGTTACATTAAAGCGCCGTTACATTAAAGCGCCGTTACATTAAAGAGCCGTTACATTAAAGCGACGTTACATTAAAGCGCCGTTACATTAAAGCGACGTTACATTAAAGCGGCGTTACATTAAAGCGACGTTACATTAAAGCGACGTTACATTAAAGAGCCGTTACATTAAAGCGCCGTTACATTAAAGCGCCGTTACATTAAAGCGCCGTTACATTAAAGAGCCGTTACATTAAAGCGGCGTTACATTAAAGCGGCGTTACATTAAAGCGACGTTACATTAAAGCGGCGTTACATTAAAGCGACGTTACATTAAAGCGGCGTTACATTAAAGAGCCGTTACATTAAAGCGCCGTTACATTAAAGCGCCGTTACATTAAAACGGCGTTACATTAAAGCGCCGTTACATTAAAACGCCGTTACATTAAAGCGCCGTTACATTAAAGCGCCGTTACATTAAAGCGCCGTTACATTAAAGTTCCGTTACATTAAAGCGCCGTTACATTAAAGTTCCGTTACATTAAAGCGACGTTACATTAAAGCGGCGTTACATTAAAGAGCCGTTACATTAAAGAGCCGTTACATTAAAGCGATGTTACATTAAAGCGCCGTTACATTAAAGCGGCGTTACATTAAAGAGCCGTTACATTAAAGAGCCGTTACATTAAAGAGCCGTTACATTAAAGCGCCGTTACATTAAAGCGCCGTTACATTAAAGCGACGTTACATTAAAGCGGCGTTACATTAAAGAGCCGTTACATTAAAGAGCCGTTACATTAAAGAGCCGTTACATTAAAGCGCCGTTACATTAATGCGACGTTACATTAAAGCGCCGTTACATTAAAGCGCCGTTACATTAAAGCGCCGTTACATTAAAGCGATGTTACATTAAAGCGCCGTTACATTAAAGCGGCGTTACATTAAAGAGCCGTTACATTAAAGAGCCGTTACATTAAAGCGATGTTACATTAAAGCGCCGTTACATTAAAGCGGCGTTACATTAAAGAGCCGTTACATTAAAGAGCCGTTACATTAAAGAGCCGTTACATTAAAGCGCCGTTACATTAAAGCGCCGTTACATTAAAGCGACGTTACATTAAAGCGGCGTAACATTAAAGAGCCGTTACATTAAAGAACCGTTACATTAAAGCGATGTTACATTAAAGAGCCGTTACATTAAAGCGCCGTTACATTAAAGCGACGTTACATTAAAGCGACGTTACATTAAAGCGACGTTACATTAAAGAGCCGTTACATTAAAGAGCCGTTACATTAAAGCGACGTTACATTAAAGCGACGTTACATTAAAGAGCCGTTACATTAAAGCGCCGTTACAATAAAGAGCCGTTAAATTAAAGCGCCGTTACATTAAAGCGCCGTTACATTAAAGAGCCGTTACATTAAAGCGCCGTTACATTAAAGCGACGTTACATTAAAGCGATGTTACATTAAAGAGCCGTTACATTAAAGCGCCGTTACATTAAAGCGCCGTTACATTAAAGCGCCGTTACATTAAAGCGCCGTTACATTAAAGCGCCGTTACATTAAAGAGCCGTTACATTAAAGCGGCGTTACATTAAAGCGGCGTTACATTAAAGCGGCGTTACATTAAAGAGCCGTTACATTAAAGCGCCGTTACATTAAAGCGCCGTTACATTAAAGCGCCGTTACATTAAAGTTCCGTTACATTAAAGTTCCGTTACATTAAAGCGGCGTTACATTAAAGCGCCGTTACATTAAAGAGCCGTTACATTAAAGCGCCGTTACATTAAAGCGCCGTTACATTAAAGAGCCGTTACATTAAAGCGACGTTACATTAAAGCGCCGTTACATTAAAGCGACGTTACATTAAAGCGGCGTTACATTAAATCGACGTTACATTAAAGCGACGTTACATTAAAGCGACGTTACATTAAAGCGCCGTTACATTAAAGCCACGTTACATTAAAGCGACGTTACATTAA